GCCGGGCAGCGTGGGCGTGTATTATGCATATGGGAACAACGGCACAGAATTCCGTCTGGCGAGGAATTCGGAATTCGGAATTCGAGCGTCCTGCACGACACTAAAAATACTAATTTCCTAATTGATTGCCTGTGGGTAGAGTGCATTGTGTGTGGAAAATAATTATAAAGAAAAAGAGGTTCTGGAACTTGGCTTAGAAATAATAGGTCAGCTCTAATCTCCTCAGTCATTTAAAGGTCCCAAACAAATATTATACAGGGTGCGCCATCTCGAGCTTCGGTATGAAAATATTAAATAACTTTGGAAAAAAACAAAAATTCATGGAAAATGTTTTACATATATTTAGATTGATCCTTTACAATTCATTTGAGTTAGTTTTTGAATACAATATCGACTAAGTGACTTCCTTTGTTCTTGATGGCAAAAAGTGTCCTTTTTCGAGCATTTTCCATTATTTTCTTGAGCAATCGGCCGATATATTGGCCATTTCGGTGCGAATACTCTCCTTGAGCTCTGTGATGGTCTAGGGCTTGCTTATGTATACCCCACAAAAAGAAATCCGGCGGGGTCAAGTCCGGCCAGTCGATATCGCCTCTTTTTGACACAACGCATCCAGGAATTTTGCTGCAAAAACTGCATGGTTTCGTTTGCTGTCTGACATGGGACCCCGTCCTGCTGAAACCAGAAATTTTCTAGACCCTTAAAAAACTAACTCAAATGAATTGTAAAGGATCAATCTAAATAAACATAAAACATTTTCCATGAATTTTTGTTTTTTTCCAAAGTTATTCAATATTTTCATACCGAAGCTCGAGATGGCGCACCCTGTATTCATAGCCTGCAAAGGTTAAACTCTTGATTTCTTAATTATTTTACCTAAATATTAGATCCCTTTAATTAATTACAGGGTAATTATATTACAAAACTAACCAATCAATAGTAACTTCCAGTTTAACAATTAAATCCCAGTGAAGACTGAGTTTTCCTTTGCAATTTTGTTTGATCGTTTCGTCGCAAATACGTAATTCCTGTTGAATGTGTTCGCCTACAGACTCGAATGTTGTTTATATTATACAAATTAGCAAACATTTAATAACACAACCCCCCCAAAAACCCCCGCATTTTGTCCACTTTTATCAATTTAAATGGCAAGAGCACGTGTATGCCGATGGCTTAATCATTTTCGGTGGTTTTTCGCTTTTCGTTCGTTGTTCGCTAATTGTTTTTGCTGCCAGTTGATGCACTTGTGCAAATGAATGCGTGTTCATATATAAATATATATTTATGTATATATAAGTGGAATATACATATTCACGAATTGGTTTCTCAGTTGCTGTTTAATTAGCAACAGTCGTCCGTCGTTCAATTGCGTAAAATAGAGTGCAAACAAACAACCAGAACAATCGCAGGAGTGACGCACTCGTTTTCAAAGAAAAGGGGTTGAAAAACAATTGAATATGGATATGGATATGGATATGGATCTGAAAACATAATAATCTGCTGCAGAATACGTGCGATATTCTCCCCCCGATCCTCCAGTTTGCCCCTCAATCATGTGACACTTTTGCGCAACCAGTTGTTTCTCTCGAAATTTTCAATTTGTGTTTGCCTGTTTTCGCCATATCGTATTATTGTCCACGAATGAAGATAGCTAATTGAAAAACAGTTGAATTATTTACACAGAACCGTGGCGCATTTGTGGTAAGTAAACACATAAAACTCGCAGCAGTTGCTCTATAAAATGTCGGGTTGTTTTCCAGTTGAAGTCTATTGAAGCGGAAAAATCCAAAGACTTGAATGTGCATTCCCTTCGGATCTACCTGCCATTAGGATCCTTGGCGTTCTGTATCATAAAACAATTAACAATTAACGCCAGTGCAAAGCCATAATATTAGGAAAGGAAATAAAACAGAAAAACACATTTAAAAAAAAAAAAAACCGGCTAACAAACATGTGACTTATCGCAGTTGGCTGTTAAAATTCATTTCCTGGCGACGACAATTAATTAACGAGGAACACTGAAAAAGGTGCACTGCACTTGAGGAATGAGTAATAAACTTTGAGTTAGGATCGTTACATCGGGGGAACTTCGGAAGTCAACTCAGTCACGAGATCACGATTCGAAACCGAGAAGCTCTGCGGTCGTATTTTAATCCGTAACAAGTCACAAGTTTATTGCTCTATTAGAAATGGCAAACGCTTTTGAATACTCAAAAGAAAATACACGGAAAATGTGTTAACTATAAAAAGCTACCTCATATTATATATTGGCATGGGCATTAAATTAAAGTTAATGTAACTTTGGGTAGTTAAGTCTCAAAGTCATCACATTTCGTTAACTATTTTACGCAACCTAAGCACTTTTTTGTAAGATTTTTAAACGCCAATTTAAACTTTACTATTGGTATAACTATTTCGTGTATTTTAACACTTTTTTTTAGGCTTCTGGATGTGCAATAAAAAAGGTACAAGGACGCAGGGAACTCTTAAAAACGATAGCAATCACAGGTAATGATAATAACAATACAGTTGTTAATACGATTGCTCAAACAGGTCGACTGCTAATGCGCAAATGGGTTACACAGAGAAAAGTAATGTTGGGTTGACATAATAAAAACCCTCCAGAAGTAAGGTTATCTATCATATCTCAAAATTACTTTCATCAAAATTACTTATGTGCCATAGATAACAACTGACAAATTAAGGGATTACTTATGATTGTTTCGATACAAATATACTTTTTTAATATTTTAAATATCATGCTGATATGCTATAGATATCAAGCGTTAATTGTATCAAACTTATATTCTTATTTTTAAGCAAATCACATTGAAATGGTCTTATTTGGTGAATACTTTTTGCTGTGTGTAGCAGCAAATCCCTATGGCGTTTCGAGAGTTTTTTTCTGTGCGTGACAATGGCTGGGATTAGGCCGCTCAATAAAGGCTAACTTAAGGCAAGGCCAAATGCCACTATCTGAAGGGCCCCTGGGCGTATGCGTAATATACTTATCTATCTGATATGTGTGTATATCTATTATTTGGTTAGCGCTTTAGCAGCAAGTCATGGTGCGATAATAATTGCAAATGTCACAACAACTGGAAACAACATTGAAAGGCTTTGATTGCTTTTCGCACTCAGCTATCAAACAACAAACAGTCGTAATTGATCGTGAGATGCGTGAGAAAGGGAGGGCAAATACAGTGAACAGTGGCTAAAATGTAAATATCCGAACCAGAGTATTTCAACTATATAATTCGAAACCTATTTTGCATTCCAAAACCCTCTTCTTGTAACTCCTTTCACTTAAGTTTGGATAATAGCGAAGCCTTTTTTATAGTTTGTTCCTTATACGCAGACGTCACTGTACGTAAACATTTTCTGAGCTGTGAGTCACGTTCATAATTCGTGAGATATTTCTGCATGTTCATGCTGATAGATCAGGAAAGCAAAGTGATATGATGTTTTTTGTTTCACTGCCTCTCCTTATTTCTCTTTCTCCTTCTTTCCTTTTATCCCCTCTATCCCGAAATGACGTCACACGAAAGCTTTGCATATTGTGGTGAAATAACCGCAAACATTTCCAACATACATACATGCAATCAATACATATATCCGAAGTGCTTCTTGGCAAGGGGATCTTTATTCGGAGGCGTTACTGGCAAGGAATACCCCATTAACTCGCGGGCAAACGCGGCGTATGAGCAATCTGCTCGCGTGCTAGTGACGTCACTTTTACCGTCAAACAAACAGTGACTCGTCGAAATCGGAGAAATTGCCGAGTGTTCTTATATCGGTGATTAGCAACGCGTTGCAGCTCCACTTTTTTGATTGGTCATGCTAAATGGGAATATCCAAGAATGCCAGAAGTTTCCAACCAAGGTCGAATTTTTTATTTCCCACCCGAAATTTAAAAACAAAAAAAAAAAAAAAAAAAACGGATAAAGGGCAAACAAAGGAAATGGGTGTAAATCGCATGCACATAAAATGAACGAATGTCAAGGCTGTGACCGCAACAAACACACACCGTGAAGTACAAAAATACAAAAAAGTCCGGTGGATACTTAAAATCGAATTGCCCGGTAATTACGGCCAAACAACATAGAAAATCAATAAAAAATAGTTGGCCGCCCTGGTAATTACGCATTTACAAAATGTACATACATATAGAAAAAATTATTAACAGCGCGGGATAGAAAATTAGCTGTTAGAAGTCAAAGTTTCTAGTTTATGATAAAGAGCATATACATATGTATGTTTACATTCTAACATATCCCCAATACAAATTAACACTATTTAAATTTTATCTTCTACCATTTTATACAACTTTTTTGATTAGTTCTTGGAACAATAACATAAAAAGCGAATGTTTTTGAATGTTGTATGTGCCTTTTCTTGAAATTCCTATTATTTTGCCGGTCTCTGTGGGCCGAACGGAGCCCAAGGCCGTGCCACTTTGACCCCCTTTGAGCGAAATCATTATAAAACCTGCCGCGTCACTAGTGTTAAATGGAATACCAGTAACAGCAATAAAAACAGAAACAACAACAAGTTACCGGCAAAAAGGAAGGCGCAAACGCACATACACGAAAAAGCAAAAGGCAAAAACAAACGCAAACAAATGAAACGGTACACGCGCGCGTGCTCGTTCCAATAAGAATATGCGAATGGTCGGTTTGTTGGTGTCCTCTCAGCTGTTGCTCTGGCGACGTCGACTGTGACGTCGACAGAGGCAGCGGCTGCTCTTCAGGAAGAATAATAATTTCCAAAGTCTTTCAAAAATATGAGTTTTGTATGTTTTTAATTATAAAAATTTGAACCACTTTGCACCCATTTCTGACTCAACCAATGTATTCCACAGGTCGTTGTCTATGAAACTATAAATATCCATAAGGACTCACTTCTCTACCAGTAAAAATAAATCTCAAAAACACCAGAACTTCTTTATTTTTATTATAAATAGTATTATTTCCATAATTGAACTTGATATATGCACTGACCTCCTTTTGCTCTCTCCCGCTCTCTTGCTGCACTTTTTGTGGGGTTGTGTAACGTTATTTGCCGACTTTACCGCTGTTTTTGCGCTCTCGCGATTTCCTTTTATTTTGTTGCTGTGCGGTGTGTATATTTCTATCGAAACCAAATGCACAATTATTTTATATTGCAAATTAAAAAAAAAACAAATAAAATATCAATTGTTATTTGCAGGTCGCGTGTTTTTCCTCACTTCACACCCTCTACAATTTTACAGCTGCAGCAGCAGCGGCGTCATCAGCTGCTCTCTTGTAAACAGATAGAATTTTCTATCTTTGCAGTTTCAGTTTTAAATTTAGAAATGCGGCTGCCACCGGAATCGAGAAATCTCGGAAATCACGGGCGAAATTTACTCAAAACGTGCTCCCCGCCCGGAAAGGTTCTTTCCAATTGGAAGTAGAGTAGTGAGTGTGGTGTGCGGGTGTGAGTGTGTGGGTGTGTGTGTGACGGATTGCGGTAATTACCGTGGTGTGCGTGTGGGTATTTCACAATAATTCCACTGGATTCTAACGAGTTAACTTTTAATTATATTTTGGTTATTCGCGGTTGATATTGCGTTCTCTAAGCCGCCAAGTTTTCCGCCAACGTAATGAGCGTTATTAACACAAACGAATGCCAAAAACAATAAAACGCTCCACTTTAAATACAAATTTGTAATGTGACCAGGTGGGGGAAGCCGAAAAAACTAAGGCGCAAGCGTTAGTGCATTTTACTGCCAGATATCGATAAGCCGATAGGCAGGACAGCACGTTTAAGGATTTTTGAAACTTGTTTCTTTATTTTCCAATTAGGTTTCACAGCTTAAACTGCTTGGTTTATTAGATTTTCATTTTTGAAATACATTAATGTTGGTTACAAATTCAATTTCTATTTTTCTAAGTCAGATATCCTTGCACAATTTTCAAATTGTTTGCCTTCATTTAGCAATTATCTCATACATATATGGAAATTTTAAAAGGAAATCTTATAAAATAACATTTATACTTCAGCTAAATCTTTCGACTTTTTATTTTTTGAAAGTTAAATAATCCACTAATGCCTTTTCATGTTCTGGAACATTCTGAAGTTTGTAATTTCACCATGATTTGCAATTTTTTGTTGATATCCTAGTGTACTTAATTGTTTAGATATGAAAACCTGTGTGTTTTCTCATAATTAGATTCTATTATTCAAGTTCTTTAAATAGATTTTCTGGAAAAGTCTTAGATTTTGAAGAATAGTTCATTAATATAAGCAATTTTGGAAGAATGGGATAGCTAATGAGTGACAAGGTTTTGAAGGATATTTACACTATAATTTGAGATAATTAAGCCGTTACGGTCCCAACTTATCAGTACCAGGCGCTGGCATAGAAATTAACTAATGATTTGTTAAATTTAACTTGTTTACCTGCTAGATTAAATTGATTTTGTTCTAAGAAAAGTTTAATATAAACAATTGGTCGAGTTCAGCAAACACTTTTTAATTTGTAAATTCTAAGGTATTGTATGTTTATCACTCCGCAACTAAGAGAATAATCAAAGTATTTAACTTCAGTAAGCTGTTTTAAACAATTTGGTTATTGTTAATTCAAGCTAAATACAAAATATATTTTTGTATAATTTTTATGGTACATTTTAAAGTTATATTTTTCTCATAAAAAACAAATCAAATTTATGATTACATATTATTTAAAATTAAGTGTTTCTTCGGTTATTACTGGTAATATATTTTAGGATACTTGGTCACACTAGTTGTCAGCTGATCAGGAAGCGCACATGTTTTGATTGTTTTGGATTTAGAACTTCCACCCGGAATTTTGGAAAATGGGCGGCCACCACAAAAAGAACCTGCGAGCAGAAAAGGCCAAGGTGAAGCTGAAGGGCGCCAAGCTGCCCAAAGGCCTGAATGTGACCAAAACGGACTTCAAGGTGCGCAAAATAGAGATCCGGGAGCAACTGAAGGAGTCCCAGTACACGGAAACTGGCCAGCGCCAGCTCAATCTGAAGGAGACGCTATCCCGGCTGAAGCACCACAGCGTCAAGTTTCGCACAGATGCCCTGCGAAATGTTCGGGACTCCCTAAAATCTGGCAATGCCGATCATCTAATTGGTCACCTGAATGAATTGTTCCAAGGAATCGCAGCCGGTGCTTTGGACATGGAGCGTTCGGCGCGTCAGGAATCCTTCAAGACGCTCGACGTTTTACTGGAGGCCCTGGAACCGCAGGCAGTGTCGCCCTTCTTCCATGTGATCACCACCTATTTGCGTTGCGCCATGACCCACGTGCTGCCCGCCATTCAGGAGGATTCGCTTCTCATGCTCGACGTCCTGCTGCAGCGTGTGCCGCCGTCGCTTTTGGCCGAGCGGAGTGCCAGCACCATTATTGGCAACTTTATCGACATGATCTCCCGTGCGCGCCACGACAACGAGCGTTCGAATCGCACGCTAACCTTGAATTTGGGTCAGGGCAAGCAGACGACGATCAAGTGGCGCACCAAGGTGCTCATCCGTCTGCAGCAGATCCTCGGCACTCTGGTGAGAACCAAGAGCTCCAAGCCAGCCGTTGCCCGAGTCGCTTTCTTCGATGAGATGCGGCCGCAGTACTACAATGTTCTGTGTCCCGTGAAACAGGACAATCGCGATCTGTACACCATTCTCAATGAACCCAAGCTGAGTGCTGAGGGCGCACGACTGCAGACGTACGTGGAGCAACTGCTGCCGCTGCTCCAAGACAACTGGCTGGAGGTGCGGCCCCAGGAACAGCAACCGCTGCTCAGCCAGGATGCGGCGGCCAGTCTGCATGTGGTCATCAGTTTGATGAGCCTGCTCTGGACTCTGATCGCACAGCATGAAACGGAGAACAACACCCGGGAACTAAGCGACTGGCTGAGGAAGAACTACGCACAGAAGTTCCTGCTTAACTTTTTGGCCAAGGACGGCAGTCGTTTTCCATACCAACAGATCCCTTTGGCCGCCAAGAAGTCAGCCAAGGACAAGGGACCATTAGATGGCGGCGAGCTGTGTTTGCCTCAGAACCTCGGTATTGTCCAACTGGCTTGCAAGTTCTTTCCGGATCCCAACAAAAAGCAGGGCCAATTGTTCGGCCACTTGGTCAAGTTCATGCAACAGCGCATGGAGCGCCTGAGTTCGCTGCCGCCGGAGCAGCAGCTTTCCGTTGTGGCTTCCCTGCGCTCGCTGCTCCTCGAAAACGCTACAGCGCTGCTGAAAATTGTGCCGGAACCGTTGACCAGCCTGCTGAGCGCATCGATTGAGGCCTATGTGGGTCAGCGATTCACAACCCGCGAGGGAGTAACCACTCGAGTGCTGAGTCTTCTCTGCGAGATTGTGGAGCGTTCGGATTTGTATGCCCGTTTTGGCGGCGAGCAGAGGTTCGCTCCCTTTTTGAGCTACTTACCCCAGTTGCTGCTTAAACCAACAGTCAGCGAAGGCACTTTGCGGGCCATGGCCACGCTGTGCCGCCAGTTGAATGCGGCCTTCATGTCCTCTCTGATTCAAATGGCTCCGGAAGTTCTTAGCCACTTGATTAAGATGCAGGTCACGGGCGATTCCGAGGCCGAGGATAAGTTCGAGAACCAAAAGCGCGTCTTGAATCTGTTCTACTACGCCAGAGAGTGCGACAAAGAGGGACAACTGGAGCGCGGACTTAAGCAGCTGGAGGAGCAGGCGGGAAACGAAGGCACTGCTGGTTACCTCAAAGCAGTGATGGCCTATAACTAGCGCCTTAAGTCCATAACACACACCTGCTCTGTATAGCTTCTACAATTAGTTTAATGTATACATTATATTCCTCTTTCTTAAGGCGAAAAAAACACATCTCAGGACTTTTGTTTTTTGGGCGGCTTGGGTTTGAAACGATCCAGTACGGAACGCGGTGCCTTGGTCTTTTTCTTGCCACCTTCCTTGGTTGTGTGCTGCTGAATCACGCTCTTCTTCGCCTCGCGCACCTCGGCAATGAACTCCTGCGAACGTGGGATTTTGTTAGTTTCGGCATTTGAAGCAACCTGAGTGGTTAATTAACTCACCTTGCGCTTTGTGTCCTTGACTATCTGTTTGTTTCGCGCCGCCTTTGCAGAGCCGCCACGGCCCTTCATCTTGTGGCGGGACTTCATGTTGATGCGCGGCGCCTTCACATGGAACAGCTTCCTCTTCGCATCGATCTTCTCCTGCAGCGTGGGCGCATCTACGCCGGTGATCTCTTGCGGATCCAGGGTAATAAGTTCGGGCGGAATCTTCTCCAGCAGAGCGTGCACCTCGTGTTCGCGGCGCTGCTTTGATGTCTCGTACGGATTGTCCTCCAGGGCATCGAAGTTGGGCTCGCCAGCGCCGGGCACCAGCAACGATTGGAAGCCCTTCGCCGTGGACACACCGAGCACATCCTCGTACGGACAGAAGCGCAGGCCGTGCACAAAGGCATCGCAGCGCTGGCGGATGTAGGGCAACCGCTCGCCGCTACCCGAACCGCCGCCAGAGAGCAGATCCGCATAGGTCTCCAGATAGTTGCCCTGCGACAGGGCGAGCATGCCACTTTGCGAGACATCCAACTCGTTGGCGGGCAGACGCAACTGAAAATGGGTGAGCGGCTTGTCGTGCTCGAGCATCCGAATGTCCCACACTTTTACCGCGCGATCCAGACCGGCGGTGACCAGGTATTGGCCCTTGGGCTCCACAGTCAGGGCTGTCATCGCTGTGGAATGGCACAGCAACTTGGCCAGCGGCTCACGGACTTTGGGCGACCACATGGACACCACGCCGCGTCCGCCGCCGATGCAGAGCACTCCGTTTCGAGGATTGTGGCGCATTAGGCGTATGTCGCCCAGTCCCGTGTTGAAATTACCCACCAGCTCGCCCATGGAGACGTCCAGCCAGGAGGCATAGCCAGCAGAATTGCCGGCGGCCAAGAGGAAGTGGTAGGGCAGAAAGTCCAGTCGATTGACCCTATTCAGGCGCTTCACGCAATGCAGTTCGGTGCCCTTCTTGTCGTAGAAATACACCCAGGTCTTCTGGGCCACCGCGTACATGGTGGGCACGTGGAGCCACTGGACATCTTCGACGCTCTCCATCGCATTGAATTCGCAGTGCAGCCGCTTGGTCACCCAATCGAAAGCAGCAACATGTCCTCTCCTGCCGCCGAGCAGCAAGTGCCGGCCGTTCTTGGTGTAACGCATTTGATAGGGCCCGAATTCCATGTTCAGATTGAAATGCTTCGCAGACGACTGGAGATCCACGTTGTCGGCGATTTGGGACTGACGGTACTCAGCAGTGGTTTCACCCTCATCGGCTTCTAGTTGCCCAGCGGTCTCCAGGTGCAGGAGCTCTGTGCGAGCCGCCTGCTCGGTGGCATATTCAAGGTAAACCTCCTTGCGCGTCTGCTGCTCCTTGAAGTGCCGAGTTTTCACTCCTTTTGGCTGCACTTGCTCGCCACGTGAGTACTTCTTGAGCTGCTCCTCCGGAATTGGGTTCCTCTTGGGCTTGGGTTCTTCATCTTCCTGTTTGCGTTTCACTACTGGCTTTTGGGGACGCGATTTCTTGGGTGTAGCATGCATCTTGATAAAGTCCCCGGTGAAGTTCTGTCGGTTTTTGCTCAACACTTTTACATGTTTCAGACCGCCGTCGTCCTGTTCTGTGTCATTTTGTGCATCAAAGTAGCGTTTGTAGGGCGTTTTGGCCTTTGGTCGCCGTTCTGGCGCTGTTTTGGTCATTTTGTTGGTGCAGCAAGTAGATTTAAAATTAAAATCTGGCTAAAAACAAAACCAATTTGAATTCGACAACAACGTGCACGTGCTGCTTCTTCTTCTTCGCATCAGCTGTTGGTCGAAGTCGCTAGATGGCATTACCATACCCGTTAAAAAAAAACTAAAAGGGCGATTAAAAATACTAGATTCAAGCGATCGCGCGCGTAATTTGAAATATACTTTAACTCTGGATGTCTTTTGAGTTTTACTTTATTAACTTTGATTAAAGTGTAAGTTCAGTTTATGGAGAACTGTTGAATTATCTTTAAAATTAGGGGATCCTTTTGGTTTATAATAAGGAATTTTGATTTATTCAGTTAGGTATAGTTTTAAATATACGAGATATTAAATACAACTACGGCGAAAAGACATCAAAACACATTTTGACCCCCTAACCGCATGCAAAACGCTTTCAAGATCCTTTCGGCCAACCAAAAGTTACACATAATACGATAATATTGCTAAAGTTAGACTCTGGGAAGCCCCGTCTTCCATCTGTTAAGTAATCAGCGATTAAGTTGGCCAACTAGTTAGTAGACTCGACCGTAGGGCAGGGTATTTGGATAGTAGGGCATGAGGAACTTGGTCCCGAAGCGCGGTTGCGATTGCGCCGACTCGCTGCTGGAGGAGAACATCGAAGTGCAGATCTCGGCCCGATCCCGATGCAGCCGGCTGCTGCTGTTCGAGGTGCTCGTCCCGGCGATTCCCAGTCCCAGTCCCAGGCCCAGGGTCAATCCGGCTCCATGACGACGCTCCCGACGACGCGACCGGATCAGCGAAAAGATGGCCACCACCACGGCCACCAGGAAGATCAGACCGAGCACACAGAACGAGATGGCCAGCTTGGAGATGGACAGACAGAGGGTTCCCTCGCCGGGCACCGACTGACCCCTCAGATACGGCGCGTGATCCTCTCCTGAAATTTGATTTTGGTTACTCTTGATCGGCTCCCGGGATTAACATTTTAAAGGATTTTTTCAAGGAAAGAAAACAACGTTTTTTGAAGCTGACAATCAAAATATTGTATCCAATTTACATTTTTGAAGAAAAGAGAATAATAACTTTAAAGAAACTGAGTTAAAAGTTTTCGAACATTTTTTCTTGGGACTATAACGTTTTTTTCTGCGTCTTGCTATTATTTATTAATGAAATTACTTAATGATGGTTAATGAAAGTGAAAACCAAACAAAAAACATATGTAAGCAATGTTCGATTTAAAGTCTCGAGTGTTTATGTGTAATTAGAGAAGGAAATTGGAAGATGTTTGGGTTTTGAGCAGCTGCCACGTTGGGTGGTGCGGCATCCGTGACTGGCACGCATCCCCCTCCCGGGTGGCACCACCCCCTCCCCCTCTCCATCCCCTCTCCACTCCATTTCCCCCGCACTTACCGCTCATGTTGTGGCGCCTGTCGTAGCGCAGGCGGTCCACCTCGATCTGGGGAGCAGTCACGGCCAGCGAATTGAACACCTCGATGCGGGCCAAGTGCTGCTCGGCACTCAGGACCGGTGGCGCTGACTTCTGGCGACAGTTTAGCTGGAATCGAAGGGAAACCGGAGAATATAGCAACTGGTTACTAGTTACTGGTAACTGTTGGAGCAACTGCATCGGCTGTTTGGAGTACAGCAAGGAATTGTGTTGGTGCATCGGATGGCTAAGTGGGTGATGCGGCTCCACTTGGCTGCATTTCGGTGCAATAACCACATTAATTAGCAGACGCAACACAACACGCTACGATGGGCAGCTGAAAACACAGCCGAAGCGGCAGTGGCAACACTTTCGTTTTCGCTGCAATTAATTGAGATGCATGCGAGCGGTGCTTTATGTCGCTACACGGAAAAAAAAAACACACACGCAAGTACCCTATATGGTAATTCACTTCACTTCCGTTTTGCACCTCACGAGAAGACTGAATCGTCAGTCTGAGTTGTAAATTAGGATCCAAAAAGCTTATTACACAGATACTTTGAATGATTTTCAATTTTATCTGAGGAATTAAACTTAAGTGCTCTAAGCTATAATGTATTTAAATCATAATATTTTTAAAGTGCATGATTTGAAACAAGTACATACTTTGTAAATTACTAACTAATGACTCATAAAAAAAAAATTACGTTTCGTGATCAGGAATTGTATATCATGCAAACTACAAATTCTTCTAACAAAATTTAAAAATAGGAAGTTGATCTGAATTTTTTGCGGTGCAGTGAGGGAGGGATAACCAGTGTGTGGTGTGGTGTGGTGGTGTGGTGCAGTGGTGTAGTGGTGTGGTTGTGTGGCATGTGGTATGTGGTACTCACCATCGGACACTTCCCCTTGCAGAGCTGCACGCCACAGCTGACGTGGAGGCGTTCGCGGTCCGGGAACTTGAAGGCGGGAAACGTGGCCGCGAACGTCCGCTCGACCAGGTCTTCCTCGAGCTGCTTGGACCAGCCCTCCTCCGCCGGCCGGTGCTGGGTGTGCAGAGCGGGCATTACCTGGCCATGGAAATTGGTGGGGGCAAATTAGTATCCATTTGTAATCCATGGTACTTGTGCATGCTAAACAAGGTTGCAACTCGTTGGCGAGTGGCGAAAATGGGGGTATTTAGCACAGTGGCACTTAATAAGCGTGGTTGTTGAAGGTTCTAATAGTAATGGAAGTGATGTAAACTGTATAACTAGTAAATGCAGCGTAACAAAAGTATACAGAACTGAGTAACTAAACTGATTAATAATCCTAAAGGGGTAGGAATATTTTCAATAGAATATTAATGGTTCATTTCGGTATAGAACGTTGAAATATATAATATCTTGTATGAATGGTATGATAGACAAATACATTTATAATTTGTTATAACTTTTATGAGTACTTAAGTGATGTAAAATAGTTTTAGGCACTATACGATCAAGAACTCCAGGAATTTGAAGTATTTAAGAACCACCTCATACACTTATTATGTCATATTTTCTGCAATCAACTGGCAACTTGAACCTGTCTCCCGTTGCGGTCACTGTCCCTGAACTTGAACCTGAACCCAAACTCCAACTCGAACCCGAATCCCTCGACCAACCAGTTGGAGCGCCTTTGATGGCCTTCTTTTATCGCCGCTTATACAATAATTCGGGGTGACAAAACAGTGGCTCACACGCCGACATTTCGGTCATTTCCGTTACGTACACTCGTAATAAGTGATGTGGCACTCGTACTCGTACTCAAACTCGAACTCTCAACACCAAGAAAACCGAGAAGAGGTGGCTGAGCCAACGTCATGTGGCCAAGTTCAATGACAATGACACACCAAGTCGCAACTAGTGCATATATGCACCTATATAGTGCATTTGCTGTAAGCCATATGATGATGGTATGATGCATGTGCGATCGCTGGAAACAGATGTATGGAATTACAAGACGCTGCGATTTACATCTCGCCATTGTTGCTGGTAACTTGAACAAAAGCGGGGAAGCAAGGTGACTTTGGATGGCCGAAGTATTCATACCCTTACAGTTGCCGAAGAAATTCACAAATCCCTTCAGCGCCCCTACAATTCCCAAATGGTTCTAGCAGGCACAACACTGATAACGATGTTTGATTCTGTTTCTGTAACTTTTGCCATCCCATTTAAATACAGCTTATGAATAACACGGCTCGTAATAAGTAAACCGACATACTTATACCCCAGGAGAGGGTATTTTGAAAAGCAGGGCCCAGGTAACGTTGATTGGCTTAGACGGCGTTGTCTAGTTTCAATTTACACGCCCAAGCACGTGTTTCCCCATGTGCGGGTGTATGTGAATGCGAAGCCCGAGACAATAACGAGAAAAAGCAAATTGTTGCGGAAGTTCAAACGAGTTCACGTGCAGATGGATTGTACCAATGCAAATTGTTGCAAGGGCTTCCTTCTGTGCAGACGATAACCTCTTCCCTCTGATTTCTGAAAGTAAGTCGAAATAATCGCTGGCATTCCACAGCTATCGACAAGAGCATCTCCTAAAGTTCTCAAGGTTGATCAGGATATCCACGTGGATCGATAACGATAGCTCACCGCAATAACGGTTCACGCACAGTGGGTCACATTCTAGAGATTCTGGGCCAGAAAGTGGGCCACCACCACCAGCAACGGCGGCAGACAAAAGACGCAGCTCCTATTTCACTTTTCCTCCACGCTCTGACCCAGAAGTGTTTCTAAAGCAAACAAATCAACCTGTGATGGGTGCGCGCATAAATTTGCAATCGCACTGGAGAAGTAAAGAGCAAAAAAGGAAAAAAAAAGAGCTGAAAAAAATACAACAAACTAGACGACGGGCAGAGAAAAATAAAACAATAAACCAAGGCAAAAGAAAATGAAATGTGCTAAAACGGAAGACAGCCGCCAAGAGTTGAACAATAAAACAAACATAAAATGCAAATGGTCTTCAGTATCTCCAATGTTTGTTTGTATGTGTGTATGTTTGTGTGTATGTATGTGTGTTGGCCCGTTCCGTTAAAATAAAACAGAAATTAAGCCGTGTGATTTTTCTAGCGCTGCCCTGACCACCAACAACACGAACCTCAGCGAACATAAAGAAGTAGCGAAGCGTCAGCCGGAGATTTGTTTGACCCATTTAAGGCCGCTCCGCGAGTGAATGAGTGACATGTGCACAAAGCTGCGACGGCCGGCGACCAAAATGCAAATGCTTTGCAATGGCAATGCCAATGCCTGCCCCTTGTGGCACAGTGGGGTCGAAAACAAAAACATGACAACAAAATGTTCAAGGCTCAACAAAAGTAATAGCTAGACCGGATGGCAAAAATGTGTTTCCATGAACAGCACAAATATAATATATGGAAAAGAGGTTGAAATGGAACTCTTCTTCTTCTTAGGAATTAAATGAATATTTTTTTTCATATTTTTTTTTTTTAGTTAGCTGGCCCCACTGTTAATCGCCTCAGTGGTGCTGATGAAGACAGTGGTGTTTCTAGGGACTCGGTGGTGCGGAGATGGGGCAACCACAAACAGGGGCACGTCAAAATGCTAAACGATAAATATTTCTATGTATTTCACTGTTGGCTAATTGTTGTGACCTCCTAATTTACTCAAGAAGAACCGGGGAACTGAGAACTGGGGAGCCCATGGAGAACCCATGGAGAACCCAGGGAACCCAGCATAGAAGGCAGAAAGCCCAGAGAACTCTTCTTCGGTTTTGTCTGTTTTTTTTTTCAGCTTTTTCTGCTTTTACCACTTTGCCTAATGATGTTTTCCTGATGTTCGGAACTGCTTCGCTGGGCAACGAAAACTGTTCTAACGATGATCGCGTAATTACGGCTAACAGTTTCGGTTTTGCCGCCGTTTGCCTCACATTAAATGTCGGTGCTGTAACAACTGTTACACTTAATGAGCCGCTGCATTTGGGCGGAATGTTATAAATATTATAGAATATCATATCGGATGTCTAATATCCAATATCCAATCGATCGGAATGCCATTCTCCATCCGCAAAGATTTCCCTTTCAATCGGAGAGATGGAATGGCTTTTCGGTGTCTTTAAAATGCACTTAAACAGTTTTCCAAACGAATCACATAAAAATTTCGAGTTATGGTGACTTAAAGCGACAGAAGTGACGTTTCACTAATTTCTGTTTTCAGTTTACTTGGCACCAAGAAAGTTTCTTTCTAGTTCTCCTAAAAGTGCATTTCACTTTTGGGGGAGATATTTAAACAGAAAAGAAAGATTTTTACTTAAATGATATGCCATGCAAGTTTAAGAAACAGATTCCTTATTGCTCGCATACCCTTTGCTACCCTGTAGATGTCGTCTATAAAAATGAAAGTTAAATGCGATCAATCGCAGATCGCCCCACAGCATCGACAGTTTGTTTAACTTTAATTAATGACTTTCGGTCTGTCTCATCGCGTCTAACTTTGGTTTCTTCTCCGCTCTAACGGTTCGCCGTAGAATGTCGTGCCGCCGGCACCTGTTACGCAAATGATATATAGATATAGATATACTACCTATATCTATCTGTAGGTTTTCCCGATCCACTCACCTGCTCGTCGATGGGACAGCCGCGGGCATCCAGCAGCTGCTGCGTGGACTCCCCGAGTCCATCGAGGGCGGCACAGTCCACCACCCGCACTCCGATGTTCCCGGGAACAATCGCCCTCACGGTCAGGGTGGTGGCCACGCCCACCTCCACCGATCCGGTGCCATTGGGTCCGCCCAACTCCAGCCAGATCCTCACCCGCGGCGTCTCCATTTGGTGATGGCTGTTCGATGGAGCAGGTGACACGGAAAGAGCTGGAACTGCAGCAGCTGCCACAGCACGCATTCGGGCATTTCTGAAAAAATATATAATATATTTTATATTTTATATATATAAATATATATATTATATTTTATATATGTACATGAAAAAATATATTATAAAAATATATATTAAGACAACAAGAAGCTAGAGATTCCATTACTTCTTTATTTCTTACGAATGATATTTTCTATCATGAAAGGAGATCTTTCGTTTGCAATTTAACATTTGTTATACAAGCCAACTTGAACTTCCTTAGCCAATTAGTTGTTTTTTTTTTGTTTAAACATTTAACTAAGTGTTAAAAATATTGTAGATGAAATCAAGACATTCACATGATTGTATCATACGAATTAAATTGTTTGCAGAGGGTAAATGCAATTTATATATTGAGTTTGGTTAAGAAGTAGTGGCTCGTTCTGACTCACCTCTCGTGACCTTTGTCGTGACCTTTGTCCTGTCGCAGGATGGGCAGTGGCATGCCCATCGCAGTGGCCGGGAGCTGGCATTTAACGGCGCTCAGGATGTCGGTGCTCTGGCGCAGCTTCTGCTCCTTCTGGAGCATCACGCGCACCGTGTACTCCAGGCTGCCATCCTCCAGAGGCTCCGCGCGAACGCCGCATCCGGAGGTGGGGATGCGGAGGTGGAGCCTCGTGGAGTCCTGGCCCCGCGCCCGGCACTCCAGCGGAAAGTCCTTGGCGTAGAGCAGGCCGCGAAACGGACGACTCAGCTCCAGGTGCATCTCGAGCAGCTCCCGGCTGCAGTTCACCTGCATCGCCTGGATCTGCATCCCGCCACTGGAGCCACTGGAGCCACCGGTGGCAGGTGACCGCGCCTCGTTAATGGAGTTCCCTGGCGTTCTGGTTGCCCAGCCAGCATGACACACAGACTGCGGCAGATGCAACACTCCGATAACGGCGGCCAGCGACAGCAGCTGGCCGAGATTGAAGCCACCACCTCGGATCGCGGATGACGATCGGAATGGGGATGGTGATGGGTATGGGGATGGGTATGGGGATGGGTATGCAGCGCCGCTCGAGGAGAACATGTTTCCGATTTCCCGTTTTCGGCCGACGGACCACAGGCAAACCGCCCCGGCGATCGAAACCGCAAATGATGCCACTTGTTGCTGCTGTCTTTAGATGTTGCTGCTGTCACTCGATGTTGCTGTTGCTATTGCTGCTGGCAATGTTGCTGCTGTTGCTATTGCTGCTGTTGTGCTGTTGACGTTGCTGCTGGAACCGCCGACACCTGTTGTCGTGTGGCTAACTCTTAATTGGCCTACTCCCAGTCCAAGTTCGAGAATCTTGTCTGCGGAATGGAAATGCATTAGTTGCCTAGCGCGCATTTTGGGTCAAGTATTTGAGGGGATTACGGTTTTACCGATTTCAGAATCAGAATCATTCAAAATAAACTTTATTAGTATGCAAACCATGTGTTAATTAATTTATGAAAATATTAACTAGAAGCAAAATTCGTTTACTTATTAAACCTATTAATTATATAGTTATAGAATGGAAGCATCTACTTTAATTTCAGTTACTATATATACCACATATATTAAATTGAATTGCTACTTTAATCCAGTTCCATTTAATAACATGATGATTACTAATCAACAAGTCCCCAAATGACTTTAATGAACGATCATAATCGATTCTTTGGCCAACGAAAAGCGAAAGGGGAAACTGTCAGCCACTTTATGTAATTTATAATTGCCAAATAAACGAGAGGCCAATTTGGCGGCCCTTCCCTGCCCATTTTGGATGCGATGCGACGCGATGCGATATACGATGCCAATTCCGCGCCGAAAGCGGGTCAAGTTTGTCCCATATTTGTTGATTGGACCTGAGCCATAAAGCCAAGCTGCTGATGCCGCTGCCGCTGCCGCTGCCGCTGATGCCGAAGATGTTGCAGCACGGCGAACAAATAAATAAATAAATGCGATAAAGGCAAACACCGAAGCTTAAATCAACATCAGCATAATGCGTTTGCAACTTTGCGTAATCCTATTTGATGTTACTGCCTGCTCGTTGCTCATTCGCTCATTGTGCTCCCTATTTGTGTTTGTGATTCCCATCTCCTATTAACTCTCGTGGGCATTGTAATCAGCCCAATTAACAATAAACCTTTGACTATCAAGCAAATAAAAAACCTCTCGAAGGCGCATTGACAGTGAGATTACCTGCCCTTCACTCTGGTCGTCTTTACTTATTATTTTTATTACTATTTTTACATAAATATGTCCTTAATTGAGATTCAAACTATTTTATATTACAATAATTTATCTAATAGAAAATCGAAAAAATTTGTAATTTAATTTTAGGTTCCTACATATAAAAGAATCCCTTAAATTGATATAACCTGGAAACTGAATGTACACAGTTTATAAATCAATCTTACCTTAAAACAGTTTTAAATCCTTTTTTGTTCTTTACCCTCGCAATGCAAATTGTATAGGATATTTTAAAAACTTTTTCTTTTTTATTATTCTTAACACTTGTTTCATAAGAATCCGCACACAGCAAAAAAAAAGTATGGAATTTCTTTCGCAATTTTGCGGTCAATTGGAATTGCGAAAAAAAGCAGAAGAACCGCAATTTTCAAATTGGTTAATTATCAGCCACTACGCATGCGCGCACTTCACACGCTCTCAAGTGCAAAACTGTGAACACCGTAAAAACTAAACAAAAAAATCTGAAGAAAAGCTCGCGAAACGCCCGGTGAAGAAGTCTTAAGAAGACGAGCGCGCGCCACCGAGTGTGCAGATGCAATGCAGCGGGCCAATTCCAAACCCAGAAGTTAGCCAAGTTAGTCGCGAGCGCCGACCGCAAAACAACAACATTGGAAAGGGGCAAATAGCGGCAGAAGACGCTAGCCGACGTCACGCATGCGCCGTGATTTCCTTTCTTTGGCGCGCTACGAACCTTTTGAAAAGTATGCTATCGATAGCTCATAAATATCGGACTATGGTATTTTCATGAAAAATACCGTTCTTTCCTGCCTATCGATGTCTTAGTTGTCGATAGTCGTTGTTTTTCATCTTGCCGCGGCTGGTCACACACTTCTGACGTTTGACTGCTGGGAGTTCCGACTTTTCGGCTAAATTAATGCAAACCAATTGATTGTCACCAGAAGTGGTTAAATTGTTGTTGCGCGCGCCGAGGATGAGCAACCACCGCCTTGCGATGAACTTGGACATGTCCGAGATAATCGAGTTCGTGCTGCCCGCGAAGAGCGAATATTCGGACGACGATGGAGGGGGCGCCGGTGGCATTGTGGACGCCAGCGAGGATGCCACCTATGTGGTGCTGGAGGGCCTGGGAAACGAATACGACGAGGAGTTCCTCATTGTCAACGAGGATGGCGGAGAGGGCGAACTGCTAGCGGACGATGAGCTGCAGGGTCTGCTCGTCGGATCCCGAGTGAGGGATACACCGATGGGCGAGCAGGGTGAACAGTATGTCGTCACTGAATTGTTGCTTAGCGAAATGGAGGAGCTGGTCGAGGAGGAGCAGGAGCACGGCGACTACGACGACCTGAGCTATACCCATCCTCCGGTGTCCGAAGAGCTAGAAGATCTCGATATGGATCCACCATCGCCGCCGTCGCCTTCTCCACCGCCAACGCAAAAAGCAGCGCCGCCACCGGCACCTCAAGCGCAGCCGGGAAGTAAAGCGAAAACAGCGTCCGCCCACCAGATCGCCATACGCAGCTTTGCGAGCCAAAACGAAGACGATGGCAGCGTCAAAGATGTGAAGCCCAGCGAAAAGATGCTAGAGGAGTTCAAGGGACCGCGTCGCTACCTGCTCTTCGACGACCTGATAGCCACTATCGTGGATTTTGACGAAGACAGCACGCCCATTGTGGAGTTCTCCATGATCAGCAACATGGTGGACGAAAAGCTGCCGGTGGAATGCGGTATTTGCCCGGATGTGATGCACAAGACGAAGCTGTCGAAGCACCAGAAGACGCATATGGTGCCGGGAACCAATCGCTATGCCTGCATCTACTGCACGGAAACTTATCGCGACTGCAAATACCTGGCAGGACATGCGCGGCGTCACATGGGCATTCGTCCGTATGTCTGCGAACTGTGCACTCTATACTTCTCCACCAAACAGGACCTGAGGGTTCACAACCAACGCCGCCACCTCGAGAAGGAACACATTTGCGAGATGTGCGGCAAGACATTCGCGCAAAACACCCAGCTAAAGAGGCATCGTGAGGCGACGCACGAAAAGAAGCGACGATTCCAGTGCCAATACTGCCAGAAGGCCTACTACAAGAACTTCTCGCTGCAGGAGCACATTCGCAACGTACACATGGGCAAGCGGAGAATGCTGAAGTGCCCGTTCTGTGGGATGCAGTGCCGCGATGCCCACAAGATGGCCCGCCACCGCAAGGAGATGCACCTGAGCCAGGGCACGTACGTGTGTCACTTGTGCCAGGAGGAGTTCACGGACATAAACTACTTCGACGCCCACAAGCGGTCCATTCAGTGTCGCAGCAATACTCGTCGATTTGTGGGCGACGGCGAGGGCAATCAGTCCGCCTCGGGATCCGTTTCGGGTGGCATGATGGACGGCCAGGAGGAAGAGGATGAGGACGACGGCTTGGGGTTGCTGGAGGAGGATTACGACGAGGACGATGGCCTGCTGGTTGAGGAGAGCCAAACGGAGGAGCCAGTGGCTGGCAACGGGCATTATATGGTCAGCGAGGGGGAGCAGCAGTTTGTCCAGATATCCGACTACGACGACCAGCGTTTGCTGGTGGAGAACGTAGCCAACGGGGGAGGAGGAAGGGGATATCGAGGAGGAGGAAGAACAGTACTATAATGCTGTCCAACATCACCGAGGGCAGCAGCAGCCGCAGCAGATCCATCACCAAGTCCATGGACAGGACTACAACGACGAGCTGATATACGAGATCACCTTGAAGACTGAGGATAATTGAGTGCCGCCCCCGTGCACAAAAGTGTAAATAGGAACCAATTAAATAATATCAAGCAAACTACATTTTATTCTTATGCCTTTTTGAATATGTTCCCCAATTTCTTGGTCGAATGCAACTCGGTGCTCCCAAAATTCGCAGGGCTGTATTTTCTAGGGCATCAAGTTGAAAGTCTAAAATGCAACTCCGGGGTCAAAACACTTGTACGTGGTTCTTGGCGGAACGGGTCAAAGGGTCATTGTGGTGTTGGAAATATTCCACTCGTTTTGCTATTTGCAAGGCCTCGCTGACGTCAGCATAGGTTCTATGGAAGGCGAAAGCGAGAGGGAAGTAGTTTTTACTCCAGCTCGATATCGATAACGATCGCCTAAAGTATATTGGAGCTGTGTTCATGCTAAAAATATTTGATTTTAGAAGAGCTTGTCTATTTGAACAATAATGAATATTGCAAAATATAAATATAAAACTAAAAATTACGTTTTCGCTTTCCTGAAAAATTGATTTACTGCAAAACTTTTTTTACAATTAAGAGTATACATATATTTTATTTAGCTACTTTTAGTTATTTTCTCATCACTGGCTAGCAACACTGATAGAACACCATTAACAACAAACAGAAGTAAACAAATAAAAATGTTGATTTTTACCGGAAAAAAGGCGATGGCAACGAAACCAAGGGAACCCCTGATCCTTCGATCAAACTTTCAAAGTCACACAACAAACCACCTTGAGTCAAGGTTCATTTTCTCATATGAAATATCCCGCATAAAGCAATTCAAGTCCAGATCTAGATCTTGGACATATATATATTTTAAACTATGGACGAAAACGAGGATGATCTGGAGGAGCACCAGGAGCAGGATCTGCTCAGCGACGGCAGCGTCGAGGAGGAGGAGGCCGAGGTGGAGCCGGATGTTGGTCCGGTCGACAGTTGGGAGTCCTTCAACGATCGAATCGATGGCATGATCTACAACGAGCACTGCGACAAGACGGTGAAAAAGTTGGACGAACGCCGGCTGGCGATACTCAACCGGGTGCGTCAGCAGTTCCGCGATGCACCGAAAGGAGTCGCGGAGCGTTGTCAGGCCCAGAAATCGCCCATCGACCAGCAGCTGGAGTTGTCCAGCGAGCGTTTGAACGAACTGGTCCGCTTTGGCAACGAACTGGTGACCAATGTCCGGGTGGCCAACGAAAGGCGAGAGCTGAATCGCCGCCTGTTCGAGGCCACGCAGAAGAATCAGGTGCAAGTCAAGTTGCAGCGTGAGAGCGTGGAAACAATGGCCCGTTTCGAGAATATCAAGGCACGCTGGACCGAACTGGAAGAGACCAACGAACCGATGCTCCTCTGGGACCAAATCGAAGAGCAGAAGAAGCGGATTGCCGAGATTATGGCCCGCAAGGATGAGATGATAGCCGCCTGCCAACAGGAGGTTGATCGCATGAATGCCAAGTACGAGTTCGATCGGGAAAGGCAGGCGCAGGATCTTTGTTGCCTGGTGGAGCGGGTGGATCACCAGGTGGAGACCCTAAAGGAGGCCTACAAGGAGCACCTGCAAATGCTGCGAACGACCATCGAGGAGGAGCGCCAGATCTTTGCCGTGAATGCGGTGGAGAAGTGGCGCACCTTCTTCGATGCCATGAACGCCAACTTCGACGAAAAAGCCAATCTGGTGAGGACTCGGGAGCAGTTCTACGCGCGCCAAACACAGCAGATCAACGAGTCACAGGAGGAGCTGACCAAGAGCACCCGAATTCGGCTGGAGAAGGAGTGCGAACGGCTGGAGCTCGAGCTGCGTCGCACGCGCGACAATGTGCTGATGAACTCCGAAAAGTTGGACTACAACTATCAGGTTCTGCAAAAGCGCAACGAGGAGAATGTGATCATTAACAACCAGCAGAAGCGGCGAGTGGCTCGCTTGCACGAGGCCATCGGACGCACGCGTCGCGGCCTGAAGAATCTCTATCTCACTGGAAAGCGGAACATAGCGCGTCTCTCGTCGGACATTTACAAGCTGCACGCCAACATCAACGACATGGAGTCGAAGGCCCACCAGGCGCGGCTCAACAACCGAGAGAAGTTCGACCGCATCTGGGAGATCAACTACAAGGAGCTCAATCTACTGGTGGATCGGGTGTACCAAATCGATCGCATAATCCACGATCAGCAGCTGGCCATGCCGTGGTCCAGTCCGGTGCCGCCGATTCCGAACATCAACAAGGCGAAGAAGAAGCGGAACAACATACTGGAGAAGTTCGACATGCGCATCGGCCGGGTTCCCAAGAACCGGGTGATGCCCAAGTCGGCGATTAAACACCGGCCGGATATCAAGGATTTGCCACCGGAATCGCTCCGACTGATGCGCAATCTCATCCGTAAGCTGTCCGATCGCGGGGGCTTCCTCATCGAGGAGCGACTGCTGAAGATCCTGGAGCCGTATTCCGAGGAGGACAAGTGCCTGGTGCGCATCGACAACATCTTTGCGGCGTTGCGCATCCGCCATTTGCGCGATGTAAAGGAGCTGACCAAGGTGTTCATGCCGTACACCTACTGTCCCAACTGCCAGCCGCAGGGATTGAGTCCGCGCAAGTGTGCCGAGGTCTTCATGAAGGACCAGAAACCGAATCGACTGCAAACCCAGTCAACAACGCCTCAGGAACAAGCGGACCATCGAGAATCGACGGGCGAAGCCTTTCTAACCAAAGGCGAGGAGGCCGCCAAAAGATGTCACAACCACTACTTGGTCATGGAACCAGCTCTGTGCCTGCATGCCATGAATCTGTTTACCTCGAAGATGCACAAACAGATGTACGAGCACGAACCGGGAAGCATTCTGAATGCGGTCAATCTCATTCAGATCACGGACTCGGAGATCCGAGACTTTTGGCGCCAGTTCTCCGCCTGTTTTCCCGCCTCAAAGTGCAAGCTGTGGAAGACTCTCGAACATGGCCTGAACCACTATGTGGAGGTGCTCAAGATGCGGGTGCAGTACGATGCGGAGGTCGTCTTCCTGCGGCGCCAGAACGAGGAGTTGCGTCACTTGCTCCAGAAGTTTACCGTCTAGCTCGGAATTTTACAGAGCTCTGGGCCATGCTGCCGAATATCAAATCCCACTTAAAATCCCAATCAATTATTGTTCAATTTCGTCAAAACATGATAAATTACAATTGTGCCTAGTCTTGCTCTTTGACATCGAATCATTGAATTAGTTCAGAGGCATGGGGTTAAGCAAAAGCAATGTTTTCATTTGTTTATAATTATTTGTTTTAAGGTTGAATCCTTCTATAAAAGACAAAACTTTGGAGAATTGCTTGTATTGCCCCCCACAAAGAAATGTTTGGCTAAGACTACATATGTCTTCTTCTGTCTCGTTCTAATCTAAGGTTATATTTCCAAATCTTTGATTAAATCGTATACTTTTAAAAACTGAGAAAGTGGAACACATTTAAAAATATATAGCGCTCCCAAATTTTGAAGGCTTTGTTTGTTGTTATAAATTTGAGCTTAGGAAACCACTTTGCGAGTATATGTATCTATAATCTGTAGTAGTAGTAGGTAAGGAAATTAAGTCCTTGGCGCATTTATAAAATAAGAGGCTCACAAATAGTGCCAGTGAACACTGAAAATCCCTTTAAAAATAACGTAACATAACCGCCCATGTACTCCGTCCCCCAAATGGACGATCGCGAATGCTTGATTTGCTTTTAATTTCATTTTGAACTTTGAAGCCGTGGGAACTGGCCAACGATAGATGATCTCTCGGCGGGGACTACCTTCGCTCCGAGCTGAATCAAGTTTTGCCAATAGCTGTCACCGCTCTTCGGGGAAACCAACTATTAGCGCTGTTCCACAGAGTCTTATCAGGGAAACCCGATAAAGTTGGGCCGCAGAAAAAACCGTGTGTGTGTATATAGAGTAGTCGGGGATCGTCCAATTGGCTCAAAGTGCGCACCGGCAGCGTTTAAAGTGCAGACCTGGCTAATCACTCATTTATAGGCAAAACTTTATAGACGACATTTCGATAAAATAAAGTACGAGTGACATGATTCCATGGCCAACAACTGCGGCCTGCAGCAATAAACTACACAACTAAACACGCCGCAATCTTATCGACATTTACTCGACTCCGTTGCCAATGTTATATTTTATGTGCCGTGACAGCGGAAGTCTTCGACGGCAGTTGGCAAAACAGCAGCACTCCAAACGGAAGCAAAACACTTCAACATGCCATCCAAAGATCTCTTATCCGTATCGGGAAGCTTCGCGGAGGAAGATCAGAGCAACTACGGCGTTTGCCTCGAGGATTTGCAGTTGTTTGCCCAACTGGAGGATATTTCCCGCGAAAGAGTGCCAATGGAAATGGAGTTGCTCAACAAGGGTCCCGAATTCGATCTTCTCGATCTGGTGAATGGAGTAAGTTTAAGTGATATTTGTACAGTCATGAAACGAATATATTTTGTTATTTTGTAGGCTCTTCATCAGCGGAACACGACGAATCAAAAAACTGTGGATAAGCCCAAGCGGGCACCATCCGCTAAAAGAAGCCAAGGATCGGGAAAGGATCACAGCTGCGATGTGTGCGGCAGACGCTTCTCGGAGGCCTACAATCTGCGCATCCACAAGATGACGCACACGGACGAGAAGCCGCACGTTTGCGAGGATTGCGGCAAGGGTTTCCGGCAGTTGAACAAGCTCCGCATCCATGCAGTGACCCACACGGCGGATCGACCACACAAGTGTGATATTTGCGGCAAGGGATTCCGGTATGCCAACTACCTGTCGGTGCACCGAAGACTCCACACCGGCGAGAAGCCGTATCCTTGTTTGGTCAAGGGCTGCCAACTCGCCTTTCACTCCATTCACGCCCGTCGCATTCACACAAAGCTCCGGCATCCGGCGCAAACGGATCCCGATCCCGAGAGTCCGCTGGAGGAGCAGAGCCAACAGGCGACATCCGTGCTCAGCTTTACTTGTCCTGTTTGCGGCAGAGTTCTCACGGATCAGTGCTACCTGAGTATCCACCTGAAGCGGCACTACAACCAACGAGATTTCGCCTGTCCGCAGCCGCAATGTGGCAAGCGATTCTTTAGTGCCTCGGAGCTAAAGCACCACCAGATCTCCCACTCACAACTGCGTCCCTTCGCCTGTCCACTGTGCCCGGCACGATTCCTGCGAAAATCCAATCACAAACAGCATCTCAAGGTGCACAAACGCTGATGGGAGAGTTGTCAACGTAGATGGTGAAGCATATTATTTCTTGGTTCAAACCAAGAAACCCTCTAAAAGAGAGGCTTTAGCATTTGGCTAACACATAAGAAGTCTAAGCTAAAAAGTACACTTAAATAAACATAATATAGAGAATAACTAACAAGCTATTGGATATGCACTTGAAAAATACTCACGATTCAACCGATTGATCGCAAATGCAAGCCTTTCCCCTATTTACTGAAATCCGCAATCCACAATCCACAATCCACAAAATCCGAGTTGCGCCCCACCCAAGCTCAACTCAAGCCAATACGCTTTGGGTTTGTCTTTATCTGCATGCTTGCATATTAGATAATATGTATATATTTGTATTTATACTTTATAAAGTTACGGGTACGGGTTGCTGGTTCTGTGGTTGTGTTCTCCTCGCACGATCCTGTCGATCGGAGGACAGAGGACTGTCGACTGTTGCTGCCATGTTTTCGCCTTCTTTGCTTTGTTTCGTTAGGCATAACTTAAAGATTACATTACATTATTAGCGGTTTTAAGCCGGAAATACAAACAAAATGAAAAATAGAATCAAACAATTGATTAATTCTAAACCAAGGCGGCGGTTTAAAACCGTGATCAGAGCCAATTAACAAAACAAAATCTCGTTCGCGGTCGTTTATTCGATTGATTGCCAATCAGGATTAGGTGTCTTCACACAAAAACTACGTGAGAAACTTAAAAGCAACAAAGGGGAAAAACAATAGTCAAAACTTAAATTACAGTTACGCCGTAGCGGTACAGTTATTTTTGGTTGTAACAGCGAAGCGAAGGAAAAAAAAAATACATCTGGAGTAAAAACAAATTGAACTCGAACTCAAACTGGGCTGGGGCTCTTTAAATGTCAAGATAAGCTAGCGAATTTTGTTACATATATAGACTTAAGATCTAGACCCAAGAAAAACGCGCACTTGCCAAGCAAAATCCGATCAGCGCCGGCAAACCATATTGCATATTGACTCAAAAACAAACGCTTGAGGCTGAGGCTGATAAAGAAGTAAGAATCTCTCATTTGGTATACAATAAATGCAGTTTTGAACAAACGAAATGGGACCTTTGATGGGTCTGACTTGGTTTGCGGCACACAAATTTTGTTGGGCAAGTGCTTTACATACAGATATATGATCGCATTTTATGGATATTACGACTAACAAGAGCTGCATAATTTGCTGACTTCGTTTTTGAGAGTTGACGAATTTGTAACACACACGTACTAAGCGAAAAATCGAAACGTTTAACAACCATCATAAAACGGATATATGTAGCTATAATCCCATTCTCGATCAAGTGGAGGTCCTGCGTGAACAATTTCATTCTTTTGGTCTTATGTACATTTGCAATGTATGGTAGAGTGTGTGTGTGTGTGTGTCTGTGTGTGTAAGCTTCAAGCTTGATAAATCCCAGTTCCTGTTTTGCTGATCCTTTTCTCTTTTTTGTTTGTTGCTGTTCCAAATCACCGATATACATAATTGTTTTGCTTCTTTCACAAAGAATTTTGACTCTCTATCGCGCTTCAAGCGCTTCCAATTTTCAACTCTACTCACACAGATTGGGGGCATCTTTTGGTTTTGTGTGGTCCTGGTCGGTTCCATTTCGGTTATTTCCTCGTTTTGTTTGTGTGTAAAATGATTTAAAAAAAATTGCTGCCTCTTATCGAAAACTGTAACTATCCACGTTTCCACCTACACAATATATAGTCCTAAACTTGTAACGCCAAATACATGCTCTCTGTTTCATATATGCTTGTAAAGATATATACCCCACATGTAAGTGTGTGCTCTTTGTATATAGATATATCTGTTATCTGTATCTGTTTCTGGTTTTGCATCTACCACTTGTTTTCAAGTATTTACTCGTATATAATTTGCCTGAACTTATTTCATATGTGCTCTCAGAATTTTTCTTGGTTTTCGCTTTTTGAAACCAATTCCGATTCTCATTTTGCTTTCCCATCGACATTTCTGACAAGTAACCCTGCAGAATTGTGCAAGTTCATAAACAGTTTTCAAGTAAATGTTTGGTTTTTTGGTATTTTGTTTTAGAATCAGTGTAGCGCTTCCTTGATTTAAATTTGTACACTTTTTGGCGTTTCCTTTTCCTAGAGCTAGTCAAAAAAAAAAGTGCATTATACCCTTGCAAAAGGTATTACAAATTGTATTGCCTATGAGATTGGCGAATTTAAATGAAAATCAAAGGAAAGCTGCTTCATTTTCCAATTCTTCTAGAAATTACGGAATACAACTCAATTTTAAATCGTGTTTCACTCAAACCCACTTGCACATTTGATTGAAAAACGTTACTAAAGTAAGTTGACAGCCGTAAGTTCTCGAGGATCAGTTCTGCAGTGTTACTTGTCAGTCTTCCGGGCATCTGGTCAGCTTCGAATGAGCCTTTAACTGGGAGGGGAGGGGGGGATATGGGGGTAAAATTGAAAACCGGAACCGGGTGCTGCGCTTAGGACATGGAGCTGCACGGCAGCCGCGGCGAGCCCATCTGCGTGAGCACTCGGTCCAGCCACTGGAGCGGTCCGTTCAGATGCAGTTCGATCCAGCAGGGCGTCGAGGTGACCGTCTGGCGGCGATACTCGGCGCCCCAGCCCTTCACGAACGACATGCGGATGGTGCACATGCGCGTCAACTGGTAAACGGCCTCGAATCCCTGCGACACGGACTGCGAGAGCAGGGCGGCGAACTCCTGGTTGTTGAAGATCTTCAGATTGCAGCCGGGCGGGATCTTGCAAACGGTGGCCGGATGCCAGCCGTAGCGCTGATTGCAATTCGGGCTCTGAACAAAGATGGACGAATCGCTCAGGCACTCGGCGAACACCTCGCCGCCAATATAGTACAGCCGCACGCCCTTGCCAATGTGACGGCGCGTCTGCTCGACGACCTCGTTGCGATTCACATTGGAGAGCAGGCCGAGGCAGAAGCGCTCCGAGTTGGAGGGATCGGTGAACCCGTCCACCGTGATCGAGGGCTGCGAGGCGTGGAAGGTCTCGCCGACGCGCGTGTTCAGCTCGTAGTAGGAGATGGAGCACCAGAAGGTCGGCTCGTGGTACATCACCGGTGCTGCATCGGCGGGCGGCGTGAGGCGCGACATGTTCATGTTGTCATTGGGATCGATCGGATCGCCATCCTCGCTCATGTAGCCCGGTGGCGGGGTGCCGGTGTTGGGAATGCTGCTGCCCACACTGAGCACACTCGACTGTGAGTCCATGTTCTGGCCGAAGGACAGCTGCTGCTGTTGCTGCTGATAGGCGGAGGCGGACGAGGACGACGTGGTCGACGAGGAGGAGGCGGAGGAGGAGGAGGCACCACCGCCACCAACGTTTCCAACGGCGGCAATGGCTGGCGTCGAACTGGTCGACGATGATACGGAAACGGGCCCTGCACCGCCCAATTCCATGTACTGCGGCGGACTCAACGAGGCGCTGCGAATTATCGCCGCATTGTAGTCGGTGTTGTTGGGTATCTGGTGAGTGTGGTTGTCCAGCGGGTAGTCGACAATCGAGTCCGGCGGCGTGGGCAGCGACTTGGGCACCAGGATGGACAGCTCGATCTTCTTGTAGTGATACGGATTAATGCAGATCTCCTCCTTGCGCAAGTGGAAGGCGTATTCGCAGTGGTCGAGGGGCTTCAGTTCATTCTGCGACTGGAGATCCGGCCAGCGCCAGAGGCGACAGTAGATTACGTGCGGCAGACCCTTGCGCAAGTGCTCGCCGGCGGGAGCTGGCTTGCTGCGCGGCACCGTAACGCACCGCGACTGGCAGTTCTGCGTGGAGATCGCGCGCTCAAGCTCCTCCAGCTGCGAGTTCTTCTTGATCTTCTTCACCAGGTTCTTGACAGCCTTCTCCGACCACTTGCCCTCGACGCTGTTGTCCTCGTTGCCCTTTTTGAGTGCTAACAAACGCTTGACCACCTGCGGGGTGAATGGCAACATCTCAGGGACTCGAGGGGAGTTTGGGTCCTAGGTGGTCCGCTGGCGTCCACTTGCTCTCCTCGTTCCCGTGGAATACAGTGGAATTGTCGGGCGAGTATCTCCTGTTCTGGGTTTCCAACACTGGAACTTGAGTGTGTGTGTTTTGATTTTTGTTATTTTATTTTTTGTTTTTTGTTGATCTGGAATAGTGGAATAAGTTTAGTTGTGCGTGCTCTAGCAATTAAAACCTGATAATTGGCCTGGATGTGTGTGTGCGGCTGGATCTGATAAAAACCCGACCCTGATGACGATGTTTTGTGATAATTACTCGAGCAGCGTGTAATCTATTAATTCTTTGCCTTTAAATACCCTTTTGTTTCCAAATTCTAGTTAGATTTTAAACTTTCTCAATTGGAATCACAAATAACAAGCACAATCTTTTAATGCAATCGTCTGAGTGGGTTGCTATTGTTTCTATTGTTGTTGTCCCCAACAAGGTCAAATGTCTGCGCTTGCAGACGCTTTTTTGTTGAGTTACAGCAGCCACAGAAATACAAAAAAAAAAAAAACAAAAAACAAAACTAGAATACATATATGTACGCCTAATCTGTGGGCAGTTTGGAATTTTCCATCTTATCGAAGGCGGGGCAATAAATTACCGAAAATAACAAAAAACCACGAGCGTAGCAAGCGGGAGGAAGGGGCTTCTTTCAAAGAAAAATAAATAATAAAATGTGCATGAAACGAAAATTGCACACAAAAAACACAAGGCACTCTGCCGCTTTGCAATGTATCCATGTATCCACCGCACACACATATAGATATATATATTACCTGTAACGGTACCGGCAACTCGAGCTCCTCTAATGCTCCTGCTCTTGCTCCTTTGACTGCTATATGGCTATCTGATGGCAATATATCTCCCTCTCACTCGCACACACACTGCTTCCAGATCCAGATGCACGGGAACGGGAACGGTAACCAAACGGCACCGGAACCGGGCGCACACATCCAGGCAAAAAGGGGGGTGGGTGGCGGTGGCGGTCTGGTCTGGAAAGGGGGGCGTGTGTGTGTGGTGGCCACCGCTTTTTTCCTTCTTTTTTGAGATTTCTGTGTGTATATATCTTGTGTGCGCGCCAGAAAGTGATAGCAATACGCACACGCACACTAATGCACAGACACCACACACCGACACACACAGTCACACACACACTCGAGCACAACAAGAACAGAGAATTTATGATTAAAATCCAGTTCCTTGGCTGATCCTTTACACTTTCTTGGCTTTTGTATTGTACTTTACTTCGTAGCCTTTATTTACTGGTTAAAAATTGTGTTTTATTGAACTAATTTGATTTTTTGCGTTTCGCGATTGCTATTCTACGAGCAAATATGCAGTGTGACCAACGGGTAGAGGTGGAACTCTTATCGATGTTTTATCGATACTATCGACAACATCACGTCAATCTGGCGGGAGATTTTAGAAGTCGGGGGTGTGTAACGCGACTAGGGTTTTGATCTTGGATATAAATGGTGTAGAACCTGACTAGAATCTGTGGCGCCAAAACTTAATAATTTGTATTAAAATTTACTTGATTTATTATTTTCGTACATATCGAACAACAACAAAAGTTGACCATGCCTTTTAACTTTTTGGGTTTATTGTTTCACTTTTCGGTAATTGTCAATTAAAGTATGCCAATCAGGTGCGCGAGACGCGCCAGGACTTTTTGCAGAGCCTGCTTGACGAGCTCGTCTGGTGAGGGAGTATCGAAGCGGAACCTCTTGACTTGAACGCCGTAATCCTCGCGTTGGCACATCCTCAGATGCTGTCGTTCCAGCCGCGAGACTGAGTACTCCAATTGGGGTTTCCTCGGCTCGGGGTAGCCCACCACTGCGTCGAGCATTTGGCCAATCGGCCCGGGATGCTCTGGGAAATCGGTATTGGCGGGTGTTTGGTCATCTGGTTGATCCTCCTCCTCGTGCAGTGACCTTCGGCTGGCCAGGAGTCCTCCCGTGGGAATGCTCTTCCTTCCCCGATCGCAGGCAATGAAGGGTATTTCAAAGTTCTCCTGGTTCGTCTGTTGGCGCGACTTGCTCGCCGATTCCTTGGGCGGCGCATTCTTATTCGCCGCAATTATGGTCGAAGAGAGGTCAATGAGTGGTGAAGGTGCTTCTGCTGCCGCTGGCCTTGTGGTGGCTCCATCGCCACCGTCGTCTCGTATATGCAGCCGATCTACACCGCGCTCTAATCTAGATAACAGGGGTATATTCAGGGGCTCCGCGGGCGTGGAACCCAGTTGGGGTATCACAAAGCCTGATGATTGCACCTTGTTTTCGCTCTCGGATTTCTGGCGTCGCCTCAGCTGAATCTCGTTGAGAAGCATCTGGTTGTGGGCCTCGGCGGCTTGACGAGACTTCTGCTGGGCAGCTGAATCCGTGGACGGCTGCAACTGCAGTTGTGGAATTTTCAGCTGCGGAATCACGAATCTGGGCGTCGTTTGAGGGGGCGTGCCACCTGTACTGCTTAATTTGGACGAATCGCTGGCGGTGGGCAGGCCGTATTCGGCCTGAATCGCCTGGAAAAGGGTCTTCGTTGTATTGTTCGCCATTTTCAAGGCCCAAACTCAAGAGGATGATGACGAAATTTTGAATTTTTGGTTTAGGTTTCTTGTTTGTTATTGTTTTCCTCGGACGCGCTTGTAAGTGTGTGTGGGTAGGGGGTGACGTTTGTTTTGCAGGGTTGCCACATGTCTGGCTGATCCTATTGGCTATAAATGATTAGATAGGCAAATTTTGTAACAATTTTATAACCATTTTTTCTCCAAATACTTTTATCAATCCATTATACACTTAGACTATTTTTGGGCTGAGCTGAGTTTGCTTAACAAAAATTCAATCCACGCGAGAGCTCTTAACAGCAGCTGGGGTTTACGCAGTGTTGCAAAACGGGGGGAATATTTAAAGCAAGCCGCCAAATCCTATAATATATTTTGATATAATATAAATAAATTTAAAAAAATGTAACAAATTATCTTTCAAAATTTTGCAGATAGAACAATAAGTTTTTTTTTTCTGTTGTGGAAAGTTTATTTATAAATATTTTTGGAACAATCGTTTGTGATAAAATGCAATTTGATCGCAGGTCTTAGGGGTTTCAAGGCACAACTTATGCATGGTCCAGGCGGCAGATTGGGCCTTCCTCGACCATCTTTAGATCCACCTTGGGCCCGACCAGATCCCGAATGTTGTTGATGCCGTACTTGATCATGGTGGGTCGTTCCAGCGACAGACCCCAGGCGATCACGTTCACGTTCTCCGGCAGGCCCATGGGCAGCAACATTTCCGGGCGGAAGACGCCCGAGTTGCCCACCTCGATCCATTTGCCCAGGCCGGGGTGATAGCAGAAGATCTCCATGCTGGGCTCGGTATACGGATTGTAGGCAGGCTTGAATTCCAGCTGCGTGATGCCCAGCTTTTGGAAGAACTCGTACAGCGTGCCAATGAGATCGCCCAGCGTGAGGCCAACATCCGCGATCACACCCTCTACTTGATGGAACTCCGCCAGATGCGTGGCGTCCAGCGTTTCGTTGCGGAACACCTTGTCGATGCTAAAGTACTTGGCCGGCTTGAAGCCGCCCTCCTGGTTGGCCAACTTGTACAGCATCCTGGCACTCACGGCAGTGGTGTGCGTTCGCAGCAGATTCTTCTGCGCCTCCTCCAACTTCCAGTCGTAGCCGTAGCCCTTCGATCCATAGCCACCCACGGAGTGCACCTTCTTCACGCGCTCCAGATAGTCCTGCGGAAACTTGTGGCTCTTGGCCGGATGGTTCACGAAGAAGGTGTCGTGGGCATCCCGAGCTGGATGCTGTTGTGGTTGATAGAGAGCATCGAAGTTCCAGAAGGACGATTCCACATAGTTGTTCGTGGGCATCTCGGAGAAGCCCATCTCGAGGAATATTTGCCGGAACTCGGTGCGTACCTTGAGCAAGGGATGCAGGTGACCACGCGTCGGTGGAGCACCCAAAGCATCAAAGTTGTAAGCCTTGAACTTCAGCTGATCCCACAGACCACTGGCCAGCATTTCCACAGTGAGATCTGTCTCCAGCTTGGTAAGAGTGGTGGCGAATTCGGGACCGCGAGCCAAAACAAAGCTTTTGGTGGTGGTTTCCTGGAGGAGCTTGCGTTTCTTGAAGTCGGCGACTTCCTTGGCCGGCAGTTGGTCACCCTTTCCCTTAGCCACTTGCTGCAGCTGCTCCTGCACCGTGTCCTTGATATTGTCCACCTTGCGACGGACCAGCGGAGGACTGACGCTCTTGTCCACCAAAATCCAGCCATGAGACATGGCCTTGCTGAAGCCCACTTTGGCATTCGGTCCTCCGGCAGCCATTAAAGCGGACTGAGCGATTCCCTCCGGGGGAACTAAGGCGTAGACCAGGGCCTCGTGGCTGCCGTGCTCCACCACAGCGCGACCTTCGTCCGTGAGGCCCAGACTCTTGTGGGTGGCCGTTTCAGCGGTGACCAACTCGCCATGCGCCTGTATGCTCTTCAGCGCGCCCACAATTTTCTGGTGATCCTCTGCGAACAGAGCGGCCAGATCTAATGTGTCCACCTTGTCGGTGGACTCCAGGTGCTGGAGAATGCGCTCCGTGAGATCGGGATGCATCGCAGGCTGTTCTTTGGGTGTTATTTCAAAGTTAATTGAATGCCGAAATCCGAAATCGAAATCTCGTGTTGCCACAACGCAGGAAAGTGTAGTGCTGGACTGCGCAACACAGCCAGTGTTGCCAACCGACGACCGGCTTATTGAACATTTGCAAATAGCTTAGAGAATCTATAATATTTGTTTTCTTCAATAATATTTTTTAGATCTTTCGATTTGGAGAGAAGGATTGCATTTGTAAAAACATAAATAAGTATTTTCAAACCGTCAGACATTAAGTAAACTGTTTTCAATGTTACTTTTTAAAATTAAATAAACTTGTTATTATTAACGAAAAGCTTCTTTAAAATAATAATAATATTTTTCTAGCAATATAAGATCTAGTGAGAAGATTATAACCATAAACAAATACGTACGAGTATGTGTCCTGGTTGGGAAAATACTATAAACTCCAATAAGAATAGTATGTAAGTCTTTGACTTTGATTCAATTACTGGTAATCACAAATTTTTGTTTAACAATTGAAGATAAAAATTAAATTGCGAAAAAATCATTTTACAAAGTCAGCAATGAACATTTAAGACATTAAATAAATTTAATTAAAGCTTAAAAAAATAGCTAGACTCAGCATAAGAATTTTTCCCGCCAATGAGAGCCTACGACACCTCCAATAAGAACAGCTGTTTGACGTCTATCAACACTAAAAGTTTGCGTTGCTTTTTGGACACGAAAATATTCGAAAAAGGACGCGAATCCTGGCGAGGAACGGCCAGCTGGGTGCCGCAAGCATGCTCAAGTCGCTCAAGCCGGACACGTACGCCGGAATGGCGAACGCCAAGTGCGGCGAGATCTACTTCCAGAGCCTGCACAGCTTTCGCATCGACTGTGCGTTCTGCGAGATGAAGAGCTTTGTGTTCGGGGACTTCCTGCTCCACGTCCAGAATGTCCACTTCGAGAACGGGCTGCTCAAGACGGAGGCGACCGAGGGGGACCTCAAGCAGGAGCGGGACACCTCGCACACCTCCCCAGTTCCCATTGTTGCCCAGGTGAATCCATTTGCGTGGTATGAAATTGGTGGCGGCGATCGGGAGGAGGACAGCGAGGACGAGCATGGCGCTCTGGAAGATCAGAACGAGGAGGAAGAGGATGAACGGCCGGGCAGGACGATCATGAAGTGGCAGGACCACCAATCCATGGCCAGCGAATCCCTGCGGCAAGTTCGAGCCCTAAAAGTGGACTACAAGGAAGAGGACTCCGAGCAGGAGGAGTGTGGCATCAAACTGGATCTGGACAGTGAAAGCAGGCAATCCCTGAAAACTCCACACTCCTGTCCGCACTGCACGAAGGTCTACCAGAGCCGCAAGGTGCTGGAAAGGCATTTACTTCGCCAGCACAAGGACGTCGCTTCCGTGGAAGCAGACAGTGAGGATGCGGACTACGAGCCGCCCAAGGATGCGCCCGCCAAATCCTCCGGCCAAGAGTACAAGTGCGAGCACTGCGACAAGATCTACCATGGCAAATACAGCCTGCGGCAGCATTTAAAGCGCGATCACGACAATTTGGGCGAGGACGGTGGCCCCGCCACCTTCACCTGCCAGGAGTGCGAGGCCCAGCTGCCGCGTCTCCGCCTGCTGGACGAGCACATGGTGCAGGCGCACGGCGGAGCAGCCTGTGTGGTGTGCGGCCGGCGGTACAAAACGCGTCACGAGCTGAAACGCCACCAGCTGAAGCACACCAGCGAACGGAACGTACCCTGCCCGCATCCCGGCTGTGGCAAGCGCTTCTTCACCGTGCGCCATATGCGCAATCACGGGAAGGTCCACACCGAGCAGAAGAACTTCGTGTGCGAGAGCTGTGGCTACAGCTGCCGCAACAAGGAGACGCTGCGCGTCCACATACGGAGTCACACGGGCGAACGACCGTTCGGGTGTCAGGTGTGCGACAAGCGATTCCCCCTCGCACTCCGGTCTGAGGGAGCACATGGCCATGCATTCCACGGAGCGACCGCATGTGTGCAGCGTTTGCGGTGCGACGTTCTCGCGGCAGAAGGGCCTGTACCACCACAAGTTCCTGCACGCGGACACCAAGCAGTTCGTGTGCAAGCTGTGCGGGAATGCCTACGCCCAGGCAGCCGGACTCGCTGGACACATGCGCAAGCACCGGAACGACGAGCTCAACGGGTAGGATCGTGGGGACATAGTCGTCTAAGTTGTACGTTTTTGTATCTTCCACTCTCGAAGTTTAGGTTTAGGCACTCAGGCATAGGCTATAGGAGACAGCTATCGTTGATGGCTTATTGGAGCCACCGCCAACAGGCGGGCTTTCGGTCTTTCGGTCTTTATTTCACGGGTTTCAATCGAGTTTCAATCGAGTTTCTTGGCCACACACACACTGTAAATAACCGGTACACTTCCTCTAGAGTTAGTCAAACTAATAGTTGTTGATTCGTTTAAGCAGAAAGCCCTTGCCTAACGCATTTAACTAGGTTTAAAATTCGACAAAGTGGGCGAATTTAATTGGCACAATTGTAAATATTTAAACGGTATTGAAAGATCCTCAGTGAAACTGTTTAGCTGCAACCTTTGTTTCCCCATTCATACGCACTTGTTTTTAATAGAATATTGTTTGCCACAAATCAAAAACCCAAACCTAGACATTAACTATATTTTAAAAGACAAAAATGCTTCCGACAACCAAGTCGATTTCGGTCGAGTCCTGTGAATCTGAAACCGGAAGAGAACGCTGCGGATGAACTTTTATTCCGGCAAGCGGAGGTGGCTTACACTCGAATAGGAAATCCCCCTTTTTGGAGATGGGCGGTTTTCGCGGTTAACCTTTTTCTATTGATAAATATAACAGAATCTGATTCACAAAAACAATGAGCCTGCATTGGCCGCGTTTAAATTTAGCCAAACAATTTGGTTGTTTTGACAGCAATTAATCGGTCGACTGCTGCTGCTGCAGCGGCCAAATGCCAAGTGTTAAGGCGTAAATCAGTGCGTCTAACAATAGTGCCGGCGATTAGATTTGGCACACGCGATGCGACCATGTCGTCGGAACATCCAACTCCAAGTGCGGATGCTCGGCGGCTGCTCATGTGCGAGTTCTGCGGCTATCGGACGGGAGTCTCTTGGAACCTGCAGGTGCATCGGCGACGACACACTGGCGAGAAGCCTTTCAGATGCGAAACCTGCCAGGCGAGCTTCTCTGCCAGTTATCAGTTGAAAACTCATCTAGAACGACACTTGGACGCCGGGGAACGTCGTTTGAAGCACATTTGCACCGATTGTAATGTGGGATTCTCCAGTTCCCGCGCTCTTTACCACCATAAGCCACTTCACGAGGATGAGAAACGCTACAAATGCTCGATGTGCGACAAATCGTTTGCCCAGGCAGCGGGCTATGCCCAGCACAAGAGGATCCATCGCCGAAGAATTCAAAGAGTTACGGAATTCAAGAGCTCCTTTAATGTAAATCCAAAACAACCGCAGAATGTTGAGGAAAAAGCCAATGTGCAGAACTGACTTTCGGCAGCGTTAGTTTATTTCGTTTCATTAAATTCGAAAAAGTAGCAGTCTTATTTATTTTTATGGATCCTCCAATTTTCAATGGAATTCAAATTTGAAATTTTCAAATTGCCTTTTTGAATCGGTTAACCGTTAATGTTTCTTGGTGGTTTATAACCTAGCTAATATCTATCGAAGTTGAGATTTTCCTAGAGCTTATCGAAGAAGAAGACAATTTGTTTACATATTTTATTTTGATTTTGTTTAAGTGAAGTATATCTGTTTTGGATGTGAATTATTAAGCGCAGAATGCTGAGACACTGCCTCGCCAACGTTGATTACGATCGTCTGCATGCCCAGCAGCAATTGCGTCCAAAATGCGGCGAAATTTTTTACGAACAGGAGGCGAATAGCTTCCAACTGGTTTGCATGCTCTGCGGAATGAAGCACTTTGGTTTTGAGGACTTCGCCCGTCATATCCGTAATGTGCATTTTGACAAGGAAGGCCGGCCACTGACCCAAACGTTCACTCGATCGGAAATAGAAGAACCGGACCAGAATCTCTACCTAAAAGTCAGTCCGGAAACTACAGCTTCATTGGTGGTGGACAGTCTTCAGGAGGAGTTTTTAAGTAACGACGATGTCCTAGATGCAGATCAGGAACTAGATCAGGAAGAGGTCAATCCACTGTGCATCATGGTCCTCGAGGATAAACAATCCGATGATGAGGAAACTATCGATACCATATGGCAGCCAGATCGAGCTCGTTCGTCTGATTCTGAAAACGAAGGTTGCGATGTGGAGGCGCTGACGGACGTGGATATTCCGCAGGACGATCAGCAGGGCGAGGAGGAGGACCAGCAGTCTGTTTTTAAGGTAGCCCCTTATAAAACGTATAAATATATTATCTACAGTATAGAACTTTGTGAAGGCCTGAACATTTTACATTTCATCTTTAACAAATGAATTCTTTCCTCCTACAGAAGCAGCGTCAGCCGAAAGACTACAACTGTCCGCACTGCGATAGGAAGTACACCACCCAGAAGTACCTGAACACCCACCTGAAGATGAGCCACCCGCATCCGCAGGCTTTCAAGTGCGGCGACTGCGAGGCCACCTTCGATTCGGACCGGGCGCTGGCCCAGCATCGTCGCAAGGAGCACACGGAGTTTGCTTGCCAGCAGTGCGACAAGGTGTTCAAGAGCTCGCGCTCCCTGCTCCGTCATGTCCAGGGCCACTCGGGCGCCAGGACATTCAAGTGCGAGCACGAGAACTGCGGCAAGTCGTTCGTCAATCAGCATAACCTCACATCGCACCGACGTGTGCACAGTGAGGAGCGGAATTACGTGTGCGAGCTGTGTGGCTATAGATCCCGGTACAGGGAGGCGCTAATCGTCCATCGGCGCACGCATACGGGCGAGAAACCCTTCCAGTGTCAGACCTGTTCACGCAGTTTTGCCTCAAAGTCTCTGCTCAACGAACACCAGGCGATGCACTCCACCGAAAAGCCCTACAAGTGCGACAAATGCGATTCGGCCTTCTCCCGACCTAAGGCGCTGTATCACCACAAACACCTCCATTTGGGCATCAAGAAGTTCAAGTGCAAGATTTGCGGAAATGCCTACGCCCAGGCGGCAGGATTATCAGCTCATATGAGAGCGCACAAACTTCAGGTGGCCCCCAATGCAGCCGAAGGGGCCGAGGGAGATCCAATTGAGATGCTGTTTAACTACTGAACAAATTAAGGAGATCCCCAGAGTCCTTAATTTACTTTAACTTACCTTCTGAGCAGTTTCTAGAAAAGCTGTTTCCCTGAGTCACTATTATCATTTCGAATCTTTAAAACAACACACACTTTGTCCCCTGTTCAACCGTATGTCTCGAAAATGTTGTACAGAAACTTACTTCGCCATAGATTTAGGCATTAATTTAAGCAAGCCAATACTTCTGAAAATTGGCATTTTAGTTTAAAGACATTTGTTTAGTTACTAACACATCAGAAATAAGATGAATGTTTAAAAGTATAATTTTGCATACAAAAGATCCATCTCGAAAAGCTAAGACACCATAGAGAAACACTATTTTATTTGCCATCAAAAATGTAACCTCATGGCCAGTTTTAAGATAAATCAATCAAAAGAGAACTCTATAAATATTAAAGAGAAAAGCTATCATTTTAATACCTGCATATCAGTAGAGACGTTGTGTAAATACTGTTAAAACTTGTTAGCTTTAGTTTAGATTTAAGCAAGAGTATTCTCCCGAAACTATTTCTCACAAAAGCTAGTACAATAAATATTGTAACAAACGTTATTCCAGCAACGCGCTTCTTTTGATTGGAATAAATTAAACAAGTTTATCAATCGCTCAACATTTATTTCGAACAGAACTTACAACTAGTCGCATAATGGTTACACGTTATTAGATACACAGACCTGGTGTTCACATTTATATGTATATATATTTGAATTCACTATAGTACAGCAGTTTTTAATAAGCATAACACTGCGATAACCAAGACATAGACTATAAATCCCGATATGAGACATATGTACACATTTGAGGGATTACCAAATCCGTAAGTTAACTATCCTAGAGATGCACCTCAAAAAAAAAAAAAAAACAAACAAAACAATCAGAGACTAGATGGGGAAACAAAGCGAGGAAGCATTTGTCCTGGACAAAATGCCGCCAAACAATACTTGGTTTTAGTTGGCTTAGGCCCACACGCGAATGGTGTAGTCCCAACTTCCGGTGGATAGAGCGGTGCCATCTGGCGAGACCTGGACGCAGGACACCTTGTTCTCGTGCCCGTAGAGCAGGCAAACCCTCTCGGACTTCAGGGTGTCCCACAAGTTGACGGTGTAATCGTTGTAGCCAGCAAACAGCAGCCTTCCACTGACCGAAAAGTCCACTGAGTTCACACCAAATATAATGCTCTCCTTGGCGAAAACAGCCACCTCGCGATCCGCCCGCATGTCGTACAGCCGACAGCTGCTGTCATCGGATCCCGTGGCAATGGCATCGCCGCAAGGATGGAACTTGACGCTATTCACATCCGATTGATGGCCCTCGAAGGACTGCACCACATGACCAGAGCGCATGTCCCAGATGAAAGCCATGCGATCACAACTGCCGGAGACGAAGGTGTTGCCGGTTTCGTTGGGAGCCAGATCGATGGCCATCACATCCCCGGAATGCCCGTGGAAACTCTGGAGCAGCTGACCCGACTCCACGTCCCACAGGGCGCAGGTGGAATCACCGCTGCCCGTGAGGATCTGCTGATCCGAGTTCGGGTAAATACAGCACGACATGTAGCTGGTGTGGGTGCCCACTGTCCGCTTCTTGGCAGCCATCTCCTCATCCGAAGTGATCGGATACACGGTGACCTTGTTGTCCAGTCCACCGCAAGCTACGAAATTTCCCGATGGAGCGTAGGCACAGGCCATGATCCAGGTTGTGGGCATGGTAACGGCGTGCTCCTTGTTCGTGGTGAACGCATCCCAGATAATCAGCCGACCGTCTTGCGACGAGGAGATGATGTGACGCTTGTCGGGACTCCAGTCGGTGCACAGGACCTTCGCCTGGTGACCCTTGAGCACTTTGCGCGGCTTGATGTTCACATAGGCGATCTGCTCCAGCCGTTCGGCGATATTCGACAAGTTCACATCATTCAGCTTCTGACGCTCCTCCTCCAGCTTGGTCTTCAGGTTTTCCGCCTCTCGGACCAAACTTGCCATCTTTTCAGTGGCATTCGCATTGGCATTGCTCGCCGGAACTGCCGCCTCCGACATGTTTTCGGAGATCTTTGGAATCTGTGCTTATCTCTCGGGGATTCTGTGTCCCAACTTTCCAATTGGAAAGCGAAAAATCAATGAACAGGACTGCCGAAAAAAAGTGTATACTCAAATACAAAAATCCGAATACACAACGGTGGTCGGCAAGTGTTGGTTAGGCGTGGTCGGTTATCGATAGCTTTTACCGTTAGTAAGGACTTTATCGCTTATTAGTAGCTTTTTGCCGTTGGTGAATGAAAAATAAATTAAATGTTCATAAGGTGAAGATCTTCAAGAAAGTTTTCCTCTTGAAAGGTGAATTAGATCTGGATGTCTAAGTTCATAACTTTCTTAAATCATGGACTAAGTTGTATACCTCTAAAGATTCGTCATTAAATGATCTAAACAGCTGCATAATTAGTTAAATTATTAATTTTGGGTCGATTTTTTACTTTTTTAATGACCCAACCATACCTTAAAACGTTTGTGAATGAACTCATAAACGTCTATTTTTTGGACCACAATTCAGTTTACCAAATATAAACTACATTTTACCTAACAAAAAGGTAACAGAACTTTAAAAATTGCGCCACTTATAAAGCAAGCTCGACAATTGGAGCACGCTTAACAACACTGACTCTACAGCTGATATCCCGAATAAAAAAAAGCGACGCCAATGGGAGGAACACTTTTACGCCTAAGCCAATAATCCGCATCCGAATCCTTGAGGCCTCCGCCATGATCAAGCTGCAGCCACCGCCGGATGTGACCGGTGGCTACCAGAACTTCTGGTGCGGCGAGGTCCTTTTAGTTCACCCGAAACCTACGAAATATGCTGCTCGCTGTGCGGCCAGCGTTTGACTTTTGACAGCTTTCCGGATCACTTTCGGACGAAACATCTCACTGGGAGCAACCGACGGGAGTCCGATGCCAAGCCCGAGAGCGATCCCATTGCTCAGGATCGCAGTGATATCGAGGTAAAGGAGGAAAAACTTGTGGAGAAGCCAACACAGGAAACTGAGGAGGAGGTTGCTCCTCGGCAGCGTCTCCAGCGAGCGGCAGCCATGAAAAATACTCTGGTGGAGACCCAGGAGGATTTGCTGGACATGGATCTTGACTGGAGGGGAAGCGAGCAATTGGAAAACGATGAAACCCTCGAGGAGGAACAGGAAGAGCACTCCGAGGAGGATGATACCACGCAGCCCAGTAACGACACCAAGGACATGCTCTTCCAGTGCGATCAGTGTGACCGAGCATACAACACCAAGCGCAGCCTGCAGAGCCACCACCGCTTGAAGCACAGTGATTCCCCCGGCGGACTGAAGAACAAATCCGTCAGCGAGCAGAAAAGCAAAAGACGAAAAGGTCCGCCAAAGGTGTACAAATGCAACGAGGAGTCCTGCAACCAGACGTTTCGGACGGAGCGCGATTTGCGCGGTCATCGCTGGAAGCACACGGGCATCTTTTGCGATATTTGCGAGAAACCCTTCACGCAGTCGGGCAACATGATGCGCCATCGCCAGCGACACACTGGCATCAAACCGCACAAGTGCGCCGAATGTGAGGCCACCTTCTACACGCAAAAGGAGCTGTCCTCGCACAGTATCTGCCATACGGGCCGCATGCCCTGCATTTGTGAGGTATGCGGACGACCTTGCCGGGATCGCGGTGTCCTCACCGCTCACATGCGTCGTCACACGGGCGAACGGCCAGCAAAGTGCGAGGTGTGCGGCAAGGCCTTCTACAGTTTCCACGACCTCAATGTCCACGCCGTTTCGCACACCAATTTGCGACCCTTTGTCTGCGACGTTTGCGGTTCCACGTTCCAAAGAAAGAAGGCGTTGCGGGTGCACAAGCTGCTTCACTCCGAGCAGCGCAAGTACGCCTGCAAGCTGTGCGGCAAGACGTTTGCCCAATCCGGCGGCCTGAACGCCCACATGCGCAGCCACGACCCGGCGAGAGTTAAGGGCGCCGTTAAGCCACTCCCGCAGGCGGTAACCATCGAGGTGATCGAGGGCAGGACGCCGCCCACCACCACCATCACCATGGCCATCGACCTCAATGTGGAGGAGCAGTTGGTCACTCAAACCGAAAACGCCACCGCCACTTGGCGACTGGCCCACTGAGTAGTTAGTTTAGCTTAAGAATAAATGCGCCATAAGAAATAAGTGAAAAGTTTTAGTTTTCAAAAAAGTGCGCAAATAAAGAGTATGTTTTCTGAGAAAGACTAAATAGATGATGACCATGTAATTATAGTGTGAAGTTATACAAACAATTACAGCAGTCGAGTCACTTTTTGGGAGTTGGAGTTATGGTTATCTCCCGTTTTCCACTCCCCGACGAATTATGGTTAGCCATTAAGGGTCCCACGATAAATAAAACAAATCTTCTTTGGCGGTACAAAAGTGTCCTTTATTGGGGTTCCCTAATTGGCGAGGGGTTCATCCATCCAGCCAGCGATCACAACCCAGTTGAAACTGGCCCTAATCTCTGCCGCCGTGTGCGTTCTACCCGAGATTCTTAGCTCTAAGTATATATAGTATGTATCGTTATGGTCTACTATAAAATATTGGGTTAAAAATAATACATACAGCCTTGTCTTTTTCCAAACTAATCATTTTTGGAGTTGATAAACGGAGGCATTTACGTTGAAAATGAAGAAATATTTTCTGGCTCCTTCGTTGTCTTTTAAATAAAGGTACATTTTTAGCTTTTTCAGACGTTTAACTAAAGAGTTTTAACTTATCATAAACGTAAATGGAATATTAAGTAAACCTAGCCATAAAAAAAATAGAACGACATTTCTGTCGAATGGACGTACTCAGTTAATAGTTGTAAATTCAATCAAATTGAAGGGACTGTTTTGAGAACTAAGATTAATTAGGTATTCAAATGCATTGATAAGCGATCACGGGGAAATCCGAGTCAGATTGCAATCTCTAATTATAGACCTAGTTTCCCCAACCTTTTGCGCGATCTGTAACGACATTTAATTGCTAAGGAATGCATAAGTGAACTAGTAGTTTAAATGAGGAATAAGAAGTAGTTCTAGGATAGATAATATCGATTAGTACTTGATTATCATCAAAATTGCTCAATGTGATGCCTGCTTGACGTTGACTATTTAGCGGTCGCTTGTATACCATATATATAGTTCTATATAAAATATATATGTGTCGGCTATTGGTTATTGCATATTTTACGTTGGCGTACGTGTTCACTAAAGTGGATCGACTAATTTTAAACAGAATAATAGGTCAAATTGTTATGCTCTGAGGATAATAGGTCAAATATTAGATGATACTCTACTGAGAAGGAATTATCTGGGTTATCTTCGCTATTTACTTAATTTCAGGGAGTCAAACATAAGTTAAGGCGTGAAAATATTGGCGGGAATGTCTAAGCATGCGATGTTTTGTTACTCTCTTTTCTGACTAACTATTGGTTGTCTTTTTTAGTTGCACTGATTACCTTGGGGCCCTATGATTCGATCCACCTTTTGTGTAAACGTAGCGTAATCGGAAGACTTCCACTTGCCTTATTCCCAGCTCAGACAATATTGATTTCGATCTTGATAAGCAGCCGATCGTCGGCACAGAATCCCAGCTGAATGATGTCCGATATGTTGGCGTACTCGAGGAAGCCGAAGCCCCGCGTGCTGATCGCCTCGCGCGGCTGATGGAAGGCCATTATCTCCGGCTTGGTCATGATGGTGTCGTGCTGCGACAGAGTGGCATCAGTCGGGTGGACCATGCACAGCTTGATGCGTCCCTTGAAGGGCCAGTCCAAGTGGTAGTCGTTCTCCGACTGCATCAGATGCACATGCAAACTGAGCACATGCGGCTTCCGCGGCTGTATGTTCAGCCGCGCACAGAACTTGTAGCCATGCGGCGCGGTGTAGCACTCGTGCGAGTACACCTGGTTGTTGGCATTGGCCCGCAGGCGGGCCACCAAGGCGCCAAGTTGTTCGATGCGCCACACAATCGTGCCGTTGCTGTAGCGCGGATCCACGGGCGCCTGATGGCGAGCCACTCGCAGCTGCTTCTGTAGGTTCTCCAGTCGGGTTTCCTGTTCGCGGGTTCGCTGCTCCAGCACCACAATCCTCTGGTACATGGTCTGCACGATCTGCTCATCAACGCCATTGGCATACTGCGGCGGTGGCGGCAATTGCTGCGACTGCTGCTGTCCATGTCCGTTCTCCGTGGCGCTGCCACTTGTGCTCGGCTTGTGCGGCTGCCAGGTGGCAATGGCCGTCTGCTGGAAGGCCTGCAACATGAGCTGCATGTGGTGCGGCATGTCGGCCTTCAGGTGCTCCTCCAATTGATTCGTCTCTGGACGACCGACAAAGTCACACTTGATCTTGGCAAACGGGCACTTCTCCTCCTGCGGTTCCTGCTGTCTTCGATACGGACAACTGGGCAGATGGCGGTGCAGCTCAATGGGCGAGGCCACCACCGAACAGCCCAGCGAGGAGTTGGGGCAATCGCGCTTCAGCTGCTCAATCTCGCGACGTGTATAGTTGTCTGGAAATATGTCGTGCTCGGCGGACAGGCGCTTGTTGTCCATCGGACAGCACTGGTTGTTCTTCTGCATCCAGGCGGTGAGGCAGCTGCGGCAAAAGCGATGACCGCAGGAGGTCAGCACCGGTTCGTTTAGCCAATCGATGCAGATGGCGCACTCATAGCGCGAATCCAGCAGCTCCTCCTCCTGTTCCCCGGATGTATCCGAACCGGGGGCATAGTGATGGTTCTGATTGAGGGCCAAACTTTTGGGAGGTGTGGGGGCTCCACTCGCTCCACCGCCCGCTGCCCCTACGGGCGTGGCACTACTACTCCCCGCAATCCGAGCGTTCGATGTGGTCGTCGTCTCATTGCTATTGTGCTCTTTCTCCTCCGAGTGCTGCAAATTATGCGAATGCGGATGCGCATGTGGGTGAGAGTGCGCCCTGGCTGGCTTCTGGTCCGTCTGGACTCGCTGCATCTTGGCTGCTCCTCTGGCCAAAGGATAGCTATCGTTTTAAATCCACTAATTTGATTATAAAAAGTGGTTTGTGCTCATGACTCCGCGAAACAGCTGTGGGGCCGTCGGCCGTTGTGCAACACTGGCGGGGCGTGACCAACACACTTGTTTGCACTAGGTTTTTGGAGCTCATATTGCATACACTTTTAAAGACATGTCGAGTTTTTAAAAACAAAAGCTAAAATAGATATGGATTCGGTGGCATTGTTTTTTGGTTTGATGAAAATTAAACGTTTCTTTCAGCCTTTCACTTAAAAATAAGAACATTTACTGATAAGCTGATAAGAGATATCGACATTTTGCATCGTAAAGCGTAATGCAGACCAGTGTGAGCGCGTCAGTTTCGATTTGGCGGCGGTGGGCGAGCATATAAAACGGCAGTGTTTTTCAGATTGGCAATCAGTTACCGAAACCGGGGCGCCTAATAAAAAATCATACAGAGACACAATGCGGATCGCTCGCCAAAGTAATGCCACTATCTACGTTCTGATTTCGCCGCTGGTGATTTTGGCGGCCTGGCAGCTGCTGTGCGTTGTTCCCGGGACAAATGCCAAGCACTTGGCGGTCAGATCGTACGACCCCCAAAAGGAAACCGCGGCGGAGAGCCAAATCCAAACGCAAAGCGTTGACGATGCACCGGTGCACCGGCACAAGCGGCAACTGTCCGATTGGCTGATCGCACCCAACACACGGTGGTGCGGACGCGGAAACCTGGCCAATGGAACCTACAACGATCTGGGCGGCGCCTCCAAGGCCGACAAATGTTGCCGGAAGCACGACCACTGCAAGATGTGGATCGATGGGATGTCGAACCGCTACGATCTCTTCAACTACCGCCCGTACACCCTGTCCCACTGCAGCTGCGATCTGAGATTCCGCACCTGCCTTAAAATGGCCGGCGACGAGGATGCCAATGCCATCGGGAAGCTCTTCTTCAATGTGGTGCAAACGCAGTGTTTCGGTCTGAAAATGGAGACAGTGTGCGTCCAGCGGGGGGGTTCGGGAAAGGATTCCGACCCCTGCCTCAAGGAGGAGGTCCGCCACAAGGCCTTCCTGCGCAACAACAAGCGCTTCTAAAGAGTCCTAGGTGGGTTTACGTTCTAGGGATGTTCCCAAACAATAGTTTTTACTAACTTTAAACACAAACAAAGACTGATACTCTAGAGGAAATGTTGAATAAAAATTTGTATAATTAAATACAATAACTAAAGAAATAGTCGCTACTCAATGTGAATAGTAAAAAAGCTTACTCAGAAATTATATTCTTCTAATGAACCATTGATTCATTTTATTCTAAAAGTTCATGTTCATAAATTTTAAAAGAGAGCTTATTCAGAGAAGTCCTTATCTCGGAAGCATCTAGAAGCTTTTAATAAAACCTTATACCAGTTGTTTAGGGGCTTTAAATGTATTAAATGTACACTCTAAGAAATCGAAGCTCTAACTAAAACTTGTCTTTCTGTGTACTATTTGCAGTTGGCCAACAATGATCGGCTGAAATGCGAGTTACCCAAAGTCGCCTGTCCGTAAAACAAGCGACCAACCGCCCCAGAGTGCTGCAATTGAGTTTGAAACTCAATGGGAATGCGTGGCAACACACAATCATCGTCATCCGTACTTAGAGGAGGAGAGATAGCCAGAGACACCCAACTAACTATGTATTAAGCAATATACCCACATATGTGTATAACATTTAAGTTAAAGTGCTATCATAATGCGTAGTAGTCGATACGATACGATATACCATATACATACTATACTATGTAGTTGTAGTCAATCAATCTAGTTTATGCCGACGGATCAAGCATACATATACATATAGGCTGCCAGAAAACAAAGTTTTTAACTAGCTGTAGACCCCGTAGATACCCTATGATACTGACAGTGTACGTAATTAGCCGTAGACTTAGTAACTTAATAAAAGGAATTTCCAAAGAGTAGAATACGCTGAATTGGGAGCTTATAAGTTGGAATTACGAGCTCCGTAATCCGGCAATTCGCCGTGGAATGTCGTACTTTGGCCCGTGCTGGAACCTCGGTATCAGCATCCATCCATCCGTAGATTATACGCCTCTGTCTGGACTGTGATCGTCGCATTGACGTAGCTGTTTGCCCCTTCAGATCAACAGGCGACCCCCGATTCGCATGCCAGCCCCTCAATTGGCTTCTAGTTGAGGTTCTGGGTCAGATGCGTCATGGCTCTGTCGGGATGGGAACCAAATTGAAATCAGATCAAGCAGTATCCTCGGTCTAGTTCAAGTCCAAAGTATTTGTCAATAAAACTCGAAATATTTAGAATTATTGTGATAATGCATGGGCTTTACCACGAGGTTATTCTTCAACGAAATAATATATGAATTTTCTAAAGCTTCCTATGTTTATGATTACCACAATTTTGCTGACGGGCAGGGATTTATTTCAATCCGTATTAATTTTCTATAAGCATGCAATTGGTTCCCATCACTATGCAAATACAGCGCACCGGGAGGTCTAGTTCAAGTTAAACCGAGGATCACTATCAGAATCAGAGCGCATGAGGCAATCAAATATAGAAAAATATATGTTTTATTATTATTATTTGCCATTTACTATTGACTGTTTGCAACAGAGGGGCCCGTCTTCTTTGAGACTCGTAAATACTTCCTGTCGGTTGGCTTCAGTGTCATATATAGTCATATATATAAATTGTAATCACCGCTTCGATTTTACTCGAAGTTAATACAAATATTTGTGGGTTTATACGCACTCATTGCATTCCGATTCTCCTGCGTAAGCACTTTATTTTGTTGATTTCGCAAATAATAACGTCACTATGGCACTATTATTTGCAAATAGAAAGTAATATTTTTCAACAAATATATACACTCTGTTTATAAAATAAATATGCCCATTCAAATAAACATTGAACAAATATTATTTGTATTAACTTAAAAGAATGCACTTTAATTTTCAGGCGCATAAACGTTGAGTGAGAGTTTTGTACCCTAATTTGAGAGGTTTCAATTCTTTTGTTTTTCAAGTGGAAAAATAAACGTTTGAGAATCCCACTTTCCACTTTCCACTTGGAATCACTCTTGGATCACTGGGAACATTCGAGCAAAGTAGCTACTCAGTTAAGTTTGAGATTTCGAAACTACAATCGCTTCGTCAAAATTGTGAAGAGTTTAAGCAAGCGCTCAGATTCGTTGTTCTTTTTGCCTGTGGTGCAGGTGAGAACTGTAGCCGGAGATGGACAGTCCAGTGCCGATGGCGATGGTGCCCACCAGTCTGAATACGATGCTCATCCCACGACCCGCTCCCAAGCCCATTATCCCCCCAACCAATAATCCAGTGAAGAACATTTTGCAAGAGAGCGAAACCCTCGCCGACGTTATGGTTTCCAGGTGAGCTGCTGCCTTGGTTTCTCCACCAGGCTTCACTTCACCCCCCCATTGCATCTCCGTTGACAGAGCCAAGGACAAGGTCGCACCGCCACCTCCCCACTCCGCGTGGGTGGCTCCACTGCAGCGGGAAATGGTCGAGGTTCGAGAGGCTCTCAAGGCACAGCCACATGGCAGCGACTTTCGTCTGCTGAGCTTCGTGGCGGCGGCCAGCTGCTGGGACCACGAGAACACCCTTGTTCCGGTGCCGCCGCAGTTCCAGGCGGCTCCCGGATCCGGCTGCCAGGTGGAGCGACTGCGTCGCTCCGTCGCCGAGAACTGGCCTTCGTCTCGCATCATGCTGGACACGCCCGCTGACGAGGAGCTCTTCGCCGGCGAGTACTATGACGAGCTGTCGCCGGACGACCAGGAGGCCCTTCACCTGCTGCACTGGCTCCTGGTGGCCACGCCCCTGTCGCCCACGCTGCGCCGCATTTCGGGGCTGCACCTGCGCGGCCTCTGTCGCGTCCTGGGCCTGGCACGCCCCACCTTGGAGCCCGGCCATCTGCTGAGCATCAGCTACGAGAACGAGGAGCAGCGGTTCGGGGATCCCTACCCGAAGCCGCGGGAGCAGCGGCCGAGCTACGGCTTCCTGGGCCTGCCCTTCACCCGGTTGTACCGCTTCCTGGCCACCGGGAACCTGGCCTATCCGCCCGGCGAACCCATTCGCCTGTACACCCAACCGGAAACGGCTCTGCTCCACTGCGAGGAGCCAGTTGCTCCTCCTCCGCCGCCGCCGCAGGAGCAGGAATCTCCGGAAGAGGCGGCAGGGCAATCCCGTCCGGCGAAGAAGGATGAGCTGTGCTGGAGGAACTCGATCCTCGCACAGCCACAACGGGCTCTGGTGATCTGCCAGCTGCCCGCGGAGTTGGATGAACCGATTGCCCGCCTGCCGGAGAATCACTTCCTCGAGTTCTTTGTCCAGGAGTCGGCGGGACTGAGGCCCTGCTACCTGCTGCTCTTCGACGAGCAGGTGGCCACCAAGGCGATGTTCGCCTGGCCGGGCAGGCGCATCGAGCTGGAGCAGAAGGGTCCCTCGCTGGCCCAGAGATCCCGCGCCAGGATCCAGAACGTGGCCAAGTACTTGGCCAACCGATTGGTGGCCGTCAAGCGTGCCTTCGCCGCCCTTTAGTTACCTTTTAATGATAATTCGTGTTACATATAGTAGGTATATATGGTATACCAACCCACCAACTTTGGCAGCCGGTTCAAATTGTATGGATATGGATATCGATCGCCTCGTTTAACTATTTTCAAATCCTACTCAAAGTTGCGTTTTAACAAAAGCGTTATTTAATAAATATTCGGCTAAATTAACATAACATAGTTAACATTACAATAACTACATATTTGCGTGTGATAAATACAATTATGTATTTATTTTTGTACTGTGATATTTTAGATTTAGAAGCAGAAGACTTTATTATTGCTAATCAAAGAACCGAAAATATATTGGAAGGTCAGGCTATGAACTGATGTAAAAAAGTACAGATCGATCTGAAATATTTTCATTAAATATAATAATAAAATATATTTCATTAACTTGCCTATTAAATAAACAAAAATATATTTAAAGATCTGGCTACGAACCGATGTATTAAATCAGTAAAAATTCCAGCATAGAAAGCAATTACTTTTGAGTTCAGATTGAATTATTTTGCATTCCGAGCTGATTTTATTCTTGTATCTCTTGCATTATGTATTTATTTTTGTACTGTGATATTCTAGATATAGAAGTAGGGGATTTTATTATTGCTAATAAAAGAAAAAAAAGATATTGGAAGGGGTAGCTACAAACTGATATATGAAATCAGTATAAATTCTAGCATCGAAAGCTGATTTCCGAGCTGATTTTATTCTAGTATTATGAATTATGAATTTAACATAATTATGTTTTTATTTTTGTACTGTGATATTCTAGATAACGAAGTGTGGGACTTGCCTATTAAATAAAGAAAAATATATTGACATAATAATATATCAAAAAACTGATATATAAAATCTGTAAAAAATCCAGCATAGAAAGCAATTATTTTTGAGTATCGATCGAAATATTTTCCATTCCGAGCTGATTTTATTCTTGTATTTCTTGTATTATGTATTAATAATTATGTATTTATTTTTGTACTGAGATATTTTAGATTTAGCAGTATAGGGCTTTGTTATTGCTGATTAAATAAACAAAAATATAATATATTAAAAGATCTGGCTACGAACTGACGTATAAAATCTGTAAAAAATCCAGCTAGAAAGCAATTACTTTTGAGTAAAGATCGAAGTGCGTTGCATTGCGAGCTGAGTTTATTCTTGTATTATGTATTATGTATTTATAATTATGTATTTATTTTTGCACTGTGATATTCTAGCTATGGAGGCAAAGGACCATAAAATCCATTACCTTGCCAATTAAATAAACAAAAATATATTTAAAGATCTGGCTACGAACCGATGTATTAAATCAGTAAAAATGCCAATTACTTCTGAGTAAAGATCGAAGTGCGTTGCATTGCGAGCTGAGTTTATTCTTGGCTATGGACACAGAGTGGAGAATGACAGTGAGTGTGGAGTGTGGAGATCAAGGTGGGTTCCTCCGGATGGCCTCCGGATGGCTTCAGTTCCTCGTGGATGGAGCAACGTAGTCCTTCACGAAGCGGAGGCGCTTTCGATGGTACTGCGAGTGCCTCAGGTAAACGCAGGCCAATCCCTTGGCGGCCACGAAGGTCACTCCACCGAGGAGGATGCCCAGCGGCTTGCTCTCCCCGTAGATCCGCCCGTAAAGGGTTCTGCCGAGGATCAGGGCGACGGTGGGCAGGCCGAGGGCCACGCAGAAGCTGGAGGCGGCGCGTCCCAGTTGCTCCACGCCCAGGGGACTGCCGATCAGCTGGATCTCCGAATCGGACTGGGCATCGAAGTACTCATCATCGAGGGGAGCGCCGGGCAGGGGTTCCCCCTGGGAGTCGCGCTGCTCCTCCGGAATGGCCAGCCGGTGGTGGCGGCGCAGCCAACGGACGAGGCAGTCGTCCCAGCGGACCATCCTGCCCAGAAGCAGAGCGGTCGGCACCAGGGGCAGCAGGATCATCAGGAGCGTGGGATCCTCGTCGAGCAGCTTCATCCCCGCCTGGTAGCCGGCCAGCTCGAGGAGGGTCAGTGCTCCGTAGGTCACCGCCCAGAAGTAGACGGTGGCGGCCAGGATGCCCAGCAGGACGCTGGGACAGAGTCGCTCGTAGCACTTCTCCAGTCGCACCAGCAGGGCATCGAAGCGGCACAGCGGCGGCATCACGATGATGTACTCGGTGCGGCACTGGGCACAGGACACGGGTCCATCCGGAGCCAGGATCTGCTTCTCGTCGATCCAGCGACTCAGGCAGGCCTCGTGCACCCACTGCCCCGATCCGCGACAGCGGCACGGATGCAGCCAGTCCCGGCGGGGCTGCTCCTCGTCGCCGGTCAGGCAGATCCAGCACATCCTCTCCTCCACCATCCGGTCGTCCATCCTGCGCTCCTCCTCCTCCTCCGGCTCGGCCAGCTGCGGCTCCCATCCGCTCCTGATGCGGTTGCGACGCCGATTGCGGAGCGGCGGCAGGTCGAGCTGGGTCGATCGGGTCCTCCGCTGCATCGTGGTTGCCACCTCGAAATGGACAAACAAAGGGGATCCGGAGCAAGTGGAATTTTGTTCGAGTGCCTGAATGTAGCAGCTTCGATTTGAAATGAAAGTCAGCCAGAAAGTCTAAGCATTTTCGCTTGACTCTTCGGAAAGGGCCTACTAATCCAAGGAATCAATCATTGGCAATCACAATGTCAGCCTTAAATCATAATCACTAAAGTATTTTAAACTTGCAATTCATTCCCTTCTGAATTTAAATCATCACTTCACAATTTAATTTATAAGCCAACCCAGAAGATATTTCTTTTTAAAGGAAATTAGTTTTTGCACCTTTAAATTAAACCTTACAAGATTACTTATCTATATGTGTAAAGAACTGCCCAACTTTTCTTCTAAATTTCAATCACCACTTTACATTCTATTTTATAAACCAACTCAGTAGAAATTCCTTTCATAGGAAATTATTTTTATACATTAATCACTGCAATATTATAAACTTGCAATCATTGCAAATATTCTGAATTGAAATCATCACTTCACATTTGATAAACCAACTCAACAGATTTCCTTTCATAGGAAATAAATTATTTGCACACCTTATAATTTAAACGTAACATGATAACTTATCTATATGTGTTAAAAACTTCCCAACTTTTCTTCTAAATTTAAACCATCACTTCACATTTGATTTTATAAACCAACTCAACAGATATTCCTTTCATAGGAAATTACCTTGTAATATCTATATGTGTAAAGAACTTCCCAACTTTCCTTTTTCGTTCGTCCTGTTTTCAAGAATTGAGTTTGAATGCGTTCTCATTTATTTTCTTTTTTTTTTTGTGACTTACTTTCAGCGAATGTGGCACATGCCAAAAGGAAAACCTGTTGGCCCACAAACTGAAAATAGGCGAAGGCCAAGTCCAAGTCCAAACAGAAACTGGATCTGGATTCAAATGGCTGCCTGTCGTCACCACGAACTCAACTGAACTTAAAAAATAGTAGCGAATGTGTGCCAAACTTACCCTTCTTCCTTCGAAAGATTCTCCGCTGGGAAATCGGCATAAATCAGGAGCTAAATCACAATCACTTCTCGGTGGAGAATATAAAAAAATGATCACACACTTTTTGGGATGGGTGGTCCATCCGATTATCCGATCCGCAGGTTGAGAGAACTCCGCGACGGACCGAAACAAAATTCAGAACCTGTCGGCTCGAGAGCAGAAGAACATTTGGCCAGCTTCGGAGGCCAGAATTCGAGAACCAGACTTAGGAAAGCCAGCCTTTCCATTCCACTTTTCCACTTTGGCAACTGGCTGCACAGGAAATAATTGTCAGGCGGTCTAATTCAGAAGCAACATTGATAGCTTAAATTGTTTCAATAACTTAACGTCTTCCCAAATATATGAAATATAATAATATTTATATAATAATAATATATAATAATAATATATAATAAAATATAAGTCTTTCTAATAAATAATTTTATCTTTCCTTGATACATTTATATTTAATATTTCTTTAAATCTTTTGATCATTGATAGCTAAAATTGTTTTCATAATTGTAAGTCTTCCCAAATACATACGAAGTGTTTCTAATAAATAATTTTATCCTTTCATGATATTTATATTTAATATTTCTTAACAATAACTTTACATCTTTCCAAAAATTAAATAACTCTAATAAATAATTTTATCTTTTCTTGATATTTATATATTTAATATTTCTTTGATCTTTTCTCTTTAATTTATAAGTAAACAATTTTTCCAAGTGTTTAAGCGAACGGTAAAGCACAACAAAGTGTGGCACCACTTCGAATTGGGCCAGGAATCGTTGGTCGTTCGGCGGGGTGGAGTCGAAGTGGTGAGCCTGGACATTGAGATGGAGATGGAGGATGAGATGGAGGCACCTCCTTCCCTGACAGGTGCTTCGCCTTGGGCGGCTCCACGAAAAGTGGAAGGGGAAGGTGCGGCAAAGTGGTCCAGTGGTTAGCAGGCTTCTGTTATGCCCGATTAGCGATCATTATCGATTTCACTTGTGATTCCCAATCTGTTAAGGCTCAAAAGGCGAGACACCGTCAGAAAATCATTGAAAGACTTTGGAATCTCTAGAAGGAGGTCCAATTTGTTGGCACATTGCGTGTTTTCGTTTATTGCCTCTATTTAAGTGACATAACAGATCTAAATACAAGAATTTTAAAAGACTTTCTCTAGAACAAAGTTGTAAAACTACAGTTAAAGTGACAATAAAATGTGTTACACTATAAAAAAAAATCATCTATACCTAAACTCATAATCAATCAATCTACATTTGTGATTTGCTTGGGGTTCCTAAGATAATATAAGATTCAATATAATCTACTATTCTTTCCAGCAAACGCGAAGATGATGGTTATTCAATTTGCTTTGGTAAATCGCTCGCCGAGATTCATGCCTTTGATGAGCGTGTAGAGCGAAAACGAGAACTTGGCTATCTGCAAATGTTCAGAAAATATTGTTATATAGAAGAGATTTATTGGAATGTATAATTAAAAATAGTGAAAAATTCTGAAGGCCAACTGAAATTGATTTCTGGTTTAAAGTACTTTGAAGGAACAAGGCTATTATATCTTTTCAGATTATGGGTTGATAAATCATATATCTAATATGTTTATGCTTTTATCCCTGAACTCACACTGAAGTAGGTGGCCAGGTTGATGGGGAACAGCTTCATGGCCGTGAGGGTGATGGGCTGCTGGGCGCGGTGCAGGTAGTAGAGGAGCATCTTGCGGAACCTGGCGCTCTGGCCCAGCCACTGGCACTGGAAGATGGCCAGCGCCAGCTTCTCGTTGTCCAGCATCAGCGAGGTGGCCTGGTAGCAGCAGGGAGCCGTCTGCAGGGTGACCGCCATCAGGTAGATGATCGAGGCGATCTTCGTGTTCGTGTTCGCGAATATGAAGATGTTGATCATGGTGGTGCCCATGATGGCGGCGGTGATCAGGAACTGGACGAAGATGGTCCGCGAGATCACCGGACTAATGCAGCCGAGCAGCTGCAGCACCGTCTGGTGGTCCACGATGCATCGCTGCAGCTCGGCACAGTGCTCCGCCTGCATCCGCTCATCGGGATACACATCCACCTGGCCAGTCGCCTCATTCCTGCCCAGCTTCTGCACCCTTTGGGCCAGCAGTTGCACTTGGACGCGCACCACGTACAGGTAGATCACCGCGTAGACATCGTCGCTGGCCTGGTGCAGGCACGTGTAGTTCATGATGAGGAACTCGATCCACGCCTGGATGCAGAACTGCATCTGGGACCGCTGCCAGTCCAGGCCGGGCAAGTAGAGGGCATATGGCGGCTGCCCGAGGAGGAAGGCGCACACGAACGTCGACGAGGAGTAGATGGCATAGCTGATCTGGTAGAACCAGACGAGCCGATTGCAGAACCTCACCGCATCCAGGATCATGTCGAACTCCTCCTGCTCCTTGCACCTGGCATCCAGTGCAGCCAGGTGGAGTTCCGCCCGCCGCAGCAGCGGGAGATTCCAGGCCAAGGCCACGATCTTGGCGGGCAGGATGACGGCATCGATGGCCACCTGGGCGGAGGTCAGCACCTGGGTGATCTCCATGCCGCCCATGTAGCGGTAGCTAATGACGAAGCAGGTGGGGACGAGGAGCAGCTGCCAGATGTACATGACCACCGAGAAGCAGCGATAGACCCGCCGCCACAGAGTGCTCCTCGTGGGCAGAGATCCATCCGGAGCCTGCATCCCCAGGGCGTAGAAGCAGTTGAAGAGGTTGCGGAAGGCTCGCCGGGATTCGGGCAGCTCCTCCTCCATCCCTCCAGCCAGATCCCCAGCGATTCCCGATCCCGAACCGTTCGCCTTCATGGCTGAAGCACCTTTGCGGCCAAGGAACAGCCGAAAAGCCCCTTTTATAGACGCTCCAATCAAAGAAAATCAAGGGAAAACTTTACCCTTTCGTTCTGTTTGGTTTTTGTTTGCTTTTCGTTTTCTATAAAAAATAGTTTTTATTTTCGCATTTTGGTCTCTGAATGATTTAAATGAATCGTCAATTGTTAATTGCTAATTTGTACATAACATAAGTCACAAGCAGCATTTTGTTATTGCATATTTGTGAGTCCACTTTTCCACTTTTCCCTCAACTTTCCCCCTCACAACTTTCTCCCCCTTTAATTCCTCATTTTCCGCTCGCTAATTCAAGGCAATTAAGCAGCAAATGTAAATGTAAAACAAACTTAAGAACTCGAACCCCTGCTAATTAATAAATAATGCAGGCGAATGCAATTAGGCTAGTGGGTAAATGTTAAGGTTAACTTCCTGGGCAGATGTCTGGCTATATTGCTTCGTTTACCTTTCGGTTTTATGGTTTCTGATTTCTGGTCAATTGGATGTTCGGTTCCTATTTTTGGTTAACTTCGGCTTTCGGCTTTCGGCTTTGTGTGAGCATAAACAACAATTTGTCTAAATTATAGTTATTAATTATGGGTAAATATATGCATGAGGGGGTGGTATCGTATCCCATCGCCACCCGCCCAAATCGAAAATATGGCCTAGAGTTCGTGTTTGTTCCGTGGGGCAAACAAGGCGAGCAGAGTAACCAAGTTGGCAATTGCGCTCCTCGGAAGTCGAAGGAAGCTTTTTGTGCACGCTGCGATCAGATTACACATCCTTCGGTTTGTTTTCGAAATATCTGGATATTTTTCAAGAATTTATAAAGGAAAGAAAGCCAAAAAAAAGTTTGGGATTTCGAAATTATTTGAGGTTTTCTGTTAGTTCCTTAAAAGTGATGCCATAAATACTTCAAAGCTTTCGCTCAAAAAACAAAACCTCTTAAGTCCCCAGAGATTTCGAAAACACCTCGAAGTTAAACATGATTACATAATCGATTACGTAATAAGCATTTTGGTAGCAGTATCTATGTACGTCGCATATATGTAAAGTTAGTCAAATTCATCGCCACTATATCTGTATCATAGCTATTCATTATTTGGAAAAAACAGCAGCAATATGCCTTGCTATATGTATACATATACTATATAGGGTATATATGGTATATACTCGTATATATCCGTTATATAATTAGTTGTAAATCGATCGAGTTATACGAGTTATTCAATTCAGAGCTAGTGGTATTGGGTTAACGCGTCTATATCGGTCTATATCTAGGTGTCTATAAATATATATATATATGAATATATAAACATTTTTTGTCAGACTTAAAAATGGAGCTTACGGCTGGCGTGTGTCTTGATTTGGGATGTGGTGTCCTCGGAATTACAAAGTATTACTAATTATTATTATTGTTGTTGTTGTTGCTGTTGATGATGGCTTGCTAGCTGGCTGCACTTAATCTGAATCGGAGAACGCATATTATATATAATACAATATATATATATAGTACATAAATGGGAGTATATTGGCTATATCAAACTATTTGCTCGCCAATTGAATCGCATATTCGCTTATTCGAGGGATTTGGGATCCGTAACGATGATTGGATTGGTATCTTTTATTTTTTTTTGGTTTTTGGTATCCGGCATCAGGCAAAACTAGTGAAGTCTTCACTCTACTTTTAAGGCAAATCGCACAAGTCGGGGGTTGCACATGTGTTTATCTATGGGTGTTTAGTTTTTGGGAGGTGTTTTCAAAACCCCCAGAGATTTGAACAACCTTTCGAGAAAGGGATTCCGATTCTGATTCTGAATTCAGAATAGCAAGGGTGGTCACTCAAATCTCCAGTTGTTTGAAAAACACCCCGCACTTAAGATTTTACTGTCTATCTGATCTGCTGGCTAATATTAACATCGAATTTCGTATATATATTTATATTCATGGCGTGTGAACAACTTGTTAACTACTTTTATATACAGATTTGATTTCAAAATCCTGCAAGATCCTATAATATCTGGAATCGCATTCGCTTTTCTTTTCTTTTCTTTTTTTTTGGTGTGAGGTAAAAACTCTATTTTATCTTTATCTGCTGGCATCCTGGAGCATCTGCTATTTAGTTTGCTACTCCAGTTCCAGTTTGATCCTGGGATATATGTTCTGATTCTTCCTGAAAACCATTTAATTTCTCTGGTGTTTCTCGACCTTTGATATTCAGCGAGTTTCTTCTCCCCATCATCTCTTCTTAATTGTTAATTGCTTTTTTTGCGTTTTTTAGTTTCATAGTTGATTGATTAAATCCAGCAGATCTTGGATTATTCCTGATTCTTCAATATCAATGAGTTATTGCTCTTATTTTTAGTTTTTATAAAAAGCTGCTTGGATTCTATTTCTATATAGATTCCAACTGAATCTTTTACTTTGTTTCTTGGGAATTCCTTTGATTGAAGTGTCTGTTCCTTTTCTCCTATATTTTCTTGGATTTCCCATTCCCATTCGCTGGATTAAACCTCCCTGATTCCTTGACTCCCTCCTGATCCTCCGATCTTCGCCAGCTTCTCTTTCTATTTTTTGAAGTTCCCTCTGGCTCTCCCCTCCCTGATTTCTTGGCGTTTTCTTGGCTCCTCCGATCCTCGCCAGCTTCTCTAGCCATCTCCCTCTTCTTCGAGTGCATCGACATCAGGCCGTCCCGCTCTCTCACAGGCGGTACTCGTAGTGCGCCGACCGGGATCGCCGTGCTCCGGAGTACCAGCGATAGGGAACCCTCTGCTGGTGCAGCGCCAGTCCAGCTGCTCCACCGCCACCGCCGCCCGATGTTCCGATTCCGATACCAATGTCCGCTCCTGGACTCCGCGCCAACTGCAAGGTCAGCGCCAGTCGCGTCTGCTAGGAGGCGGATCCCGACGGCGACGGAGTGCTGCCACTGGAGGCATGTCGCTGCCGTCTTCCCTGCTGTTGCTGCTGCAGTTGCTGCTGCTGCTGCTGGATGGGCAACTGCATCGAGGGAGCGGTCATCCGGCGACCCAGAGTGGGCAGCGGATTGGCATCCAGGTAGGCCTCGGGACTGAAGCGCACCCTGCTGTGCTGGGAGCCAATGGAACCCTCTTTGGCACTCAAGTAGGAGCTGTCGTCGCTGGTCAGCGAATCCGGGGGCGTGGGATTCGTGGGCGTGCCCTGCTGCGAGGAGGTGGATCCATTCCCTCCTCCTCCTCCGCCACCAGCTCCCCCTCCTCCTCCTCCTCCATTGTACTTCTTGAGGGAGCTGCGCAGCTTGGACTGGCCAGTGAGGGGAGGTGGCAGCGATGACATCGACGACTGCTGCTGCTGCTGCTGGTAGCCGAGGGAGAGGGGATGTTGCTCGAAGGGCAGGCTGGCGGGTCGGGTCACCGCCGCCGTGGCGTACTTGCTCTTGGTCATCGGCAGCGGACTGTGGATCAGTCGGTTCAGGAGCTTCGGTGATCCGGCATACAGTTCCTGCTTCGAGGGAGGAGCCACTTGCTCCCGCTCCCTTTCCCGCTCCCTCTCCCTCTCGTAATCCGCATTCAGGTTGAGGTTGTTGTAGTCGAAGCAGAGCAGCTCCTCGTGCTCCATCAGCACATTGGAGTTGTTGGAAACGGTCGAGGGAGTGCGTCGATGGCCTGCGGCCGAGACACCCATTTGGGGCACCCGCGGCGGTGGCGTCCGCGTCTGGCTAACCGGACAGGGAACGGTCACGGGAACGGGCAGGGGCAGGGGAAGGGGCACAGGCACCGGAACGGGAACGGGCACCACTGGCGCCTCGTACTGGTAGTCGTAGTAGTCCGGCAGCCGGTGGTTGTAGTCGTAGGAGTAGTCCGGATACGATTTGCAGTCGCGCTCGTAGCTGTAGTTCAACTCCGGCCGATAGGGAAAGTAATTGGAACCTGCCAAGAGAAGGAAGCAATGAGGAAACATCTCAATGGATCTCAATTGGATCTGGTTAACCCACCGAAGTAGCCATTCCGGTAGTTGCCTCCTCCGTCGTTGGAGTAACTCGGTCCGTTCCTCAGGTAATCCGCTGGCGCATAAAGCGGCGGCGGACCGATGCCGCCGCCCACCCGGAACTCCTCGAAGGCATCCGCCGGTGGATTCACCGGGGCATTCCCGAAGCTGCTGTTGCTCAGCTTGCGACGAGGCGATGGCGTCGGTGGTTGGGTTCCCGGGTAGATTCCAACCACTCCGGATGAGGGAGGAGCCTGCGCCGCAGCCACAGTGGTGCTCGCCACAGCAGATGCCACCGCCGACTGTGCCTGGTGGTGCTGCTGGTGGTGCGGCTGCGGCTGCTGCTGCTGTTGCTGCTGCTGGTGATGTTGGTGGTGCTGGTGGTGGTGCTGCTGGTGGTGCAACTGGTGCTGGGGAGTCCGCTGCACGGGCGTGTAGTACGGCTGACTGCCGCCAATCCGACGGGCCAAGGATGTGGGCTGCGACTTGCTCCCCGTCGCCTCCATGCCTCCAAATCTGCGGGTGGGAAAGGGAATAGATATAGATAGAATATGCAAATAGTGAAAAGAGTATGTAAGGAATATGTACGATAGATGTGGAATCAGATCAGTCAGTTAAACTTGGAATTAAAAAAATGTTGAATTAAAATGGATGTGGAATCAGATCATGTTAAGTTCAAGTTTGAATTAAAAAAAAGTTGAATTAAAAATAGATGTAGAATCAGATCATTCAGTTAAAATTGGAATTAGAAAAAGTTGAATTAATAGTTGAAAAAGAAGTGGAATCAGATCATTCAGTTAAAGTTGGAATTAAAAAAAACTGAATTAATAGTTGATCAATAGTCAGATCATTCAGTCAAAGTTGGAATTAAAAAAGTTGAATTTGAATAAATGTGGAATCAGATCACTTTGTTCAAATTGGAATTAGAAAAAAGTTGAATTTAAATAGTTGTGGAATTAGATCATTCAGTTAAAGATGGAATTAAAAAGAAGATGAATTATTAGTTGAAATAGAAGTGGAATCAGATCATTCAGTTAAAGTTGGAATTAAAAAGTTGAATTAAAATACATGTGTGCTTTGGAATTAAAAAAAGCATTTGTAGTGACTCACCTCGCCTGACTGTCCACTTTCCTGGGTGTGCTCTCCCTGTGCTCCTGCTGTTCCTCCGCCTGCTGCTTGAGTGTGGCTCCATCCAGCTGGAGTTGCGTCACCTGCTGCTCCGGCTGCTGCGACTCCTCCGCCTCCGAGAGCGAAACCGCCGCCTTCAGGGGAGCCGCCTTCAGAGCGGGCACCTCGCTGAGCAAAGTGGGATGCACCGGCGACACGTTCGACATCCGGACATCGTAGCCAGCGGCCACGCCGGCCAGCAGGGAGGCCATGTTGTAGAGGAGCAGCTCGATCACCGAGAGCTTCGGCTTGCGGGCGGAGTCGCCGGCGTAGAGCGTCGGCAGGGGAACGTTGCTGGTGAACCGGCTGAGGAGGTACGGCGATGGCGACATGATCGGCATGTTGGTGGCACCCGGCCGCCAGTCGTCCATCTTGCTGTTGCCCTGGCATCCTGGTATCCAGCCGAGTCCATTCCAGTCCATTTAGCAGCGTTCCCAAGCGGAGATGATGATTGGAGACATGATTGTGAGTTATGGTGGAATTTGGCTCGAGAGCTTGGGGATCGGCTAGTCGGGAAGTCGGATATTCGGATGGTCGGGTTCTCGGAGGAGGAGGTTCAAGTAGTTGGCTAGTAACCGCAGGCAATACCAAGTTTAACCACCGCATACCAAAGGTCAAAGTTCGTTCGTTCGTTCGCTCGAAGGGGGATTGATTATTCAAATGCACAGAGAAAAAGCTAATCAAAATAATAATCTACAAAAATTAATAAGAGTTATAGCTTGGCAAATGATTCATAAAACTCAAGACTAATAATTCCAAACTGAGCTAAAATATAAAAAAAAAAAATGTATTCAATATAATATCAATATATATTAGCTTTTTCTCTGCGATTCTACAGCTGGGAGGGATTCAATCCAAGCTGGTCAGCAGCTCCTCCTCAGTTTTCAGGATTTATTTTGTTGGATTTCGGTTTCTGGGTATTGATTCTTTTTTATTTTTGATTTTTCTTGGCTTGGCTCAGCCCCAAAATGGAAAATACATTATCATACAAAGTACATAGAAATCAAATCGAGCAGTAAACGTAAAATGAACAAATTGTAAAATGAATATAAATATACAATTGAAATTTTCATAAAAATAATACAAAAAAATTATTATTTCACTTTTCATTATCGTTTTTTGTTTTTTTGTTTGTTTTTTGATCACAGGTTTTTATTTTTTGCGCATATTACTCGTGTGTTCTCTTCGTTTTAAGAAATCAGAAATAAATAAATTGGAAAACCCGATTGCGTAATAAATGTGAATAAAACTGTGCTCAAAATTCCAAATGAGTCGAATACAAAATGAAATAGAGTCCATCGCTTGCAAGTGTTTCGTTAGGATGGGAATTTGGAAAAGATCTCTTAATTCTTACACAGAAAATGGGAAGAAGGCTCCTCGCAAGACACAAAAAAATATCGAATGCCTAAACAACTAGAACTTAGTTCAACTAAGATGTGTGTAATGCAATGCGGGGACGCATCGGTGCGTCTATATAAATATAGCAATATGGTTTACTTAATGTTAATCCAATCGTTACACATTGATGTATGTAAGTGGTAAATGGTAAATGGTATATGGTTTAGTTTAGTTCAATATTTTGCCATCGGCCCATGCAAGTGTTTTTGTTTTTGTTTATTGATTTTGTTTGGGATGTCTACGTATAAGCAGCATTAGTCTATCCGTTTAATCCGCAAATCTTCGTCCTCTCTCTTAATCGTTTCGCAATTGTTTAATCACTCCCCCTTCAAAAATCACTGGACTAATTTGGAAATCTGGTTTCACATTCGTTGGGAACGGAAGAACTCGGTTATTTTGAAATGTTTGTTGGTTGGGTGATTTCGTTAGACGGGGGATTTGGTTCTGGGAAGTCTACTCTTCGTTTTGACACATTAGCTATGGCTAATCCTCAGAGGGAGTGGCGTGCTCTTTCGTCTCTGGCTTTCGTTTCTGGCGTCTTAGTCTAGGGTTTTAATATAAAACAATGAGCTAATCAGGCGGTGTTCTCATTCGGCGGCAAACTCCAACAGCAGCACAGCTTTCACTTGTTCACTTGTTTCAACTCCTTGGTTAAATGGCTAAATGGTTGTTTTAACAGCGCTCCAGTTGCTCGCAGGACTGCGTCTGCGGCTTCTTCCCTTTGCGCTTCAGGGAGCGACTGCTGCCGCCCATGGCCAAGTCGGTTTGGTACGACGGATCGATGGCACTGAACTCCCCCCCGCCGCCCATCAGATTGTGCTCGGCCAGCTTGCTGTACTTCTTGCGCGATCGCGTGAACAGATTGAGCAGCGAGCGGATCTTGCTCGAACCCGCCGAGTGGTGCTGGTTCTCCGCATTGAAATGCTGGTGGTGGTGGTTGTGATGGTGCTTTGGATGCCCCTCGACTGGCGCCTCGACGGACTTCGATTTGGTGATGTGCTTGGGCCGCTGCTTCTTTTGGTTCTTGCTGTGCTGGCGCTGCTCCTTGGCGCGCAGATCCTCGTGCATCTTGATCACGTCGGGATGCGGCTGGACGTCGAGCATGCGCCGTGTGGCCAGTATGGAGTTCTCCTGCAGGTAGCTGCTGGTAGCCGCCTCGTTCTGCTGCATAGTTTCGCCGCCTCCGCCGGAGGAACCAATCGAAGCGGAACCCGAAGCTGTGGTCGATGACGAGGACAGCGACGGCGAGGCGAAGCGGTAGGTGGCGAAGCTAATGGAGGCACTCGACGCGTACATGTCGGACCGGGCAGTCGTCGGTGTGGTCGCTGTTTCGTTCGCCGTGGCGGGCTCCTCGAAACTGACGCTCTGGAAGGTCACCGAACTCTTGCGCGAGGTGTTCGAGTTCTGTCGCATCTGATTGGCAATGGGCATATCCTCCACCTCCGCATCGGAGTCCTCCTCCTCCTCCTCCTCCTCCACTTCCAGCTCGCCATCCTCGCCCTGCCGCGTGAAGAAGTAGTGCCGCGGGAACTGCGAGCCCGAGGGATTCGGCTGGAAGCGTCCACCCTCGAACGCCTCCTCCGCATCCTCGGCATCGAAATCGCGACCCGTCGTCAGCCGCGAACTGGAGTTGTACATGGTGAGGTCGACGCTCGACTTGGAGTTCAGCCGCTCGCTGCTCACCATCGACAACTTCTTCTTCATCACGCGATAGAAGGCGTGATCGTACGTATTGTTGTCCTCCGCCGGCGAAGGCAGCTGAACGGAGGGCAGCTGCATGGGCAAGGCCAAGCTATTGCTGCTCATGGGCGGCGGATGCTGTCCACTGCTGTCCAGCGAGTGCTTCTTCCGCCCAACAGCCGGACTGTTGCCCAAACTCCCACCGAAGCGATGCAGGGATGATGCAGCGGCGTTCTGATTGCCCGACGACGACGAGTGGTTCGATTTGAGGAAGTGAAAGCAGCCGGTGGGACTGGCCACCGTGTCCGTTTCGGAGCCATCCGTGTCCGTGACGAGATAAATGGACGGATGATAGCCCATGGCCGGGTGATCCAGTCCGTACTCCTGGCTCCTGGCCCGATGGTACATCCGCGTCGTCTGGCTGAAGCTGGTGCTGCTGTTCGAGTTGCTCATGCCGTTCTGATGATGCTGCACGATGACCACGGCGGCGTTCGTTTGCGAGTTACTCGGGTTAGTTTGACTGTGGTTATTGTTATGGCTACTGCTAGTATTACTGCTAATATTGTTTAGCTGATTGCTGTTGCTATTGTTGTTGTTGTTGTTGTTGGCGGAGATGCTATTGTTGTTGTTGTTGTTGGTAGTGGTAGTAGTGGTGGTGGTGGTGGTGGTGATATTGGTGGAGGTGATATTGTTGGTTGTTGTGATATTGGTGGTATTCATGATGGCCTTACTATGTTGGCCAATGTTGTTGTTGTTGTTGTTGTTGTGGTTGTTGTTGGGGCACGTTAAAAAAAATGGTATACCTGGAGGAAACAACATCGACGTGGTCGGCGTTCCACCAACGCCTCCTCCACTTGCACTTCCCGTTCCATTTCCATTTCCGTTTCCGTTTCCATTGCCACTGGCACTGCCAATCAGAAATTCCAATCCCGGCGGCGGAGTCATCGAGGAAACCTGTTGCTGCTGCTGCAACTGCTGCTGCTGCTGCTGCTTCTTGTCCAGATTCGGGGCACTCTTGCTGAACGAGGAGTGCGTCGAGGTCTGGGCAGGCCACTCCGGCTGATTGCCGCCCAGCTGCGATGGCAGCAGCGATCGCTCCCGCTGGTGCATCGTCGACGGTCCCCACGTCTTGCCCTTGTGACCCTCGGTCACTGGTGATCACCGCCACATTGCCACACACACACACACGAATTGCACGGATGGACACCCCAAATAATACGCAACATAAGTGGGCAAAAACATAGGGAAAAACAAAACGAAAGGCAAATCAATCAAATAATCAAGTCTACGTAAAATCAAATCATACAAAAAGAAGAGATAATGAAAGTGCTCAAGAAGTGGCTATATTAATTCGGTCATTGATACGTAATATCGTAAATTCCGGTGGCATGACTACTCCCCTCACTAATCTCCGAAGTTCTGGATGCCTAATCTTATCTCAAAGACATGCCAGGTCTACTGAATGCGTAATTGAAGCTTATTCAAAGGTAAAGTCCGTTTCAGAAGCTTAAACACTTTTTAGAAGTCATTGCTAGTGACTTGAAAATTTAATTATCACTACCTTTAATAAGATCTAATATAAAGCAGGTTAATTAAAGGAACTGATGCTATATATTTATAGAACAGGATATAATAATATATTATATATTATATTAAATCATTTTGAGATCTTTATAGAATCTGATAATCTTGAACCGGACTGTACCAGAAGATCATGATGATCATCATTATTATTATTATAGAACGTAATCTTAGCAGTGCACCGTACAGTTTTGATCTTCTGATCTTCAATATATACGTAAACTCATCTGATCCGATTATAATGGCGCTTAAGGGGATTTCCCACCCAGTAGATGAGTACTCACGTGCCACGATGCGCAATCCGGCAAAGGATGGTGATCCCGGCTGTTCCGCCTTGTCGCGCACCGCCGTAATTGTGTGCCGGAAGCCAGTGGGCAGCGATATCTGCAGCGGTTTATTCTGTACAATTAATACAAGATAAATTATAAGTAAGTGAAAGCTCTAAGAACATTTCAAATTAGAGATACCCCTACCTTTCTGCCCTTTATGGGCTTCCGTTTCGAGGGCACCGGCTGCCACATTACCAACTCCCTTTCGATGAGCACCATTTCCCGCTCGCGCAGCTTCTGCTCCCTCAGCTTGAGGAGGTCCGCCTTCTCGCGCTGCTCGTTCTGCACTCTGAGCAGCTGCTCCTCCTTGTTGCGCAGTTCCTGCCAGGATTATAGGGATAACAGGGACGAATTCGAGGGGTTAGTGTGGGTGGTTAGGCTTCGATCCGCGAAAAGGGGGACGAGTGCTAGAAAACAGCTTTAACTAGGAACTAGAAACCATGCAGCAGTTGGCTTGAGGGGGGCACTTTTCCATTAAGGTATCCTTAGCCAAACCAAAAAAAAATCAAATAAGGTGAACCAACAGTTTAAATTGGGATGAAATTAAGCAACAAAAACAGAACGAAACGCAACGCAACGCAAATGAAACGCAAATGGCGGGCAGAGAGAAACCTGTCGGACGCGCTTACCTCTTCGATTGTTTGGAAACGCTTTACGTTTTGGTTAACAGGGGAATTTTGTTTTGTTTTTTGGAGAGAAAGTATATACCAAATTATTAGAATTTCATCGAACGACGAACGGGGGATAAATGGGAGCTAAAAATGGAGGTAGAACTAAAGAGCGGCGTAAGGCCAACAAAGAATCTAGATCTAGAAACAATATCTAGAGCAACTGTAACAGGAATAGGAGTTTGGAATTCGTTTTTCTTTCGGCCACTTTGCCGATTCGGTGGTCAATCCACTCAGATGGTACCTTTTCTTTTTCGCGCAAATCGTGCAGCACCTGGGCGATCTCCTTCTTCCAGCACTCCTGCATATCGTGAAACGATTTCTGTGGCGTCGACGTAAACTTGGAGCAGGCGATGCCCTCCAGCTGTGTGAGTATCTCCTTGAAGCCAGGTCGTTTGTGTGGATCCGTTTGCCAGCAGCCTGCGGGAAATCGATTAAAACATATAACAACAGTCATAATTTCTGGTACTACGCACTTTTCATCAGGGCTCCCCAGGTTTCTGGGCAGGTTTTTGGTATCGGCAAGGTCAGCGTGTTGACAGCCACGCCGTAAGCCACTGACAAAGGATCGAAGCCCTTGTAGGGAGTCTCGCCCGTAATCAGTTCCCAAAGCAACACTCCATAGCTCCAAACATCCGATGATCTGCGGGATAAATAAAGATTGTTATTTACATGAGTTAATATTATAAATTTAATAATTAGAATCCTACTTGGAGTAGATGCTGACGCTGATGACCTCCGGTGGCATCCAGGCGTACGTGCCCGCTGCACTCATCCGCTGCGTGTTGTACATCTCCCTGGCCAGTCCGAAATCCGTGATCTTGAGGGTCTTCTGACGCAGATGATTGCCCTCGATGGCCTCGTAGATCAGGACATTGGATGACTTGAGGTCGCGGTGAATGATCGATATGGGCGCCTCGTTGTGCAGATAGTTCATGCCGCGAGCTATCTGTATGGCCCAATTGACCAGGACATCGGGCGGTATCTTGCCGGCCAATATCCGATTGAGGCTGCCGCCACGGGCGTACTCCATCACCAAACAGAGCTTGGTGTTCAGGCAAACGCCGCGCAAGGCGGCAATATTCTCGTGCTTGATGGCCCAAAAGAGTTTGGCCTCCTGGAGGACACTGTCCCGCATCCGTTGCATGTCATCCTCGCCCGTCTGATGAGCGATCTTGATGGCCACCTCCTCGTCGTCGTAGTAGCCGCGATGCACTTTGCAAAAGCCCCCGGAACCGATGACCTCCTTGATGTCCAGCTCATCGTATTCGATTTGACGCGGCTGGATGTCACCGATCGCCGAGGAGACATTCAATTGCAATGGGTCCTCATCGGTGACAAAGTCCTTGGGAAAGACACCAACCTGGGCGGGGATTTCGGATTAGTTTGATTGATTGATGTCTGTTATTACAGTTTGGAGGTGCTGCTACTACCTTATCCCCGATCTTGCCGGTCCACCAGCCCTTATCGCCGGACACCTCGCTGTCCGTGGAGAGGACCACAACGATTTCGCCACGCCTCAGGGTCAGCTCATCATCTCCTTGGGCCTTGTAATCGTAGAGGGCGGTCCACAGACTGCCATCGCCCACCTGGGGCTCCACGAGCTCCAGATCGGGGATCTCTGGGATCTGCTGGTTGAGATTATGATGTTGCTGATTGTGATGGAGGGGATGGTGAGGATGCAGTTGCTCCAACGGCTGCTGTTGCAGCTGCTGCTCCTCGCTGATGGGCCGCATGATAATCCTGGCTGGCGGGGGGTCCTCTCGAATCCTTTGAAGGCATCAAAGGGCCATGGAACCTCCGGTGCCTCTTTGTTTTTGTTTTTGGTTCTCCTCTTTCCGTTTCTTTTTTTTTTTACTTGCTTTTGCTATTGTTTCTCTCTGTGTGCGAAAGAGAGATTGATAAAAACGCAAGGGAGAAGAAGAAGAGGCCACTGGGGTTTAGTAATATTTGTTATAAACTGGGGGTGGGGTCCGACTTACGGCTAAGGATTTTCGGGCTTATCCTGCAGCTTCACTGTCCGCCGTTTTGTCCCACTGTCCGTCCGTCGACCACACTCACAACAACAAACGAGCAGCAGCAGCAACAACAACGGCACACAATCAGACAACACGATACAAAACACACACGAACGCACATACACACACACAACACACCATTGTCGCTCTGTCGCAGTCGCAGTCGCTGTAGCAGTCAGCGTCGCTGTCGCAGTCGTCTTTGATGTTATATCCTTGATCCGTTTGCAATCGGTGAAATCCGTATTATTCGCCCGAATCCGCATATGTTTTTAAAACATATATGTAGTATTAAAAAAAAAAACTAGAGTTGCACTGTTCAAATCGGAACTAGTTTAATTGAACTGGTCTTTGGACCCAGTAGAGGAACTGGTTTGTTTTTGCAGTTCACTCGATACTTTGGTTCCAGTTTGTAGCGTGATTTTATTATAATTATTAAATTTTAGTAACTGTTATTCCCTATTTACAATTAATTTTCGTTTATCTTAATGAAATTTATGGCTTAAAGAAGGCATTTTATAAAGGATCGCATGAACTGGATAAGCAATTTTGAGCTAGTTCTGCAGTAGCGTGTACTAAAAAATACCATAAAACCGGTGTTGGTAAATACGCGACTGTGGCAATGGCAAGTAGCTTTTTGGGGTTTTGGGGGTGGTATTTTTCTTATCGATAACCTTGGGGGCGGTTCGCTTACAAGTTTTTCAAATTAAAAACTTAAATAAAATTTGTATATCTATATTGGTGTACTTAACATTTCTGTAAAGAAAATGAGAACTTCTATAGGAGTAAAAACCATCGATAGTTTCTGTCAAACATCGATTTTTTTACAACTGTAGAAACAATCGAAGCTTTTTCACCACTACCTAGCATTGTACCGCGCTCAACATTATAATTAATCAAATTTGAACTTGTTTCGGTCGCTAAAGGTTTGAAAAATATGTTAAATCAGTTGATTGTAAGTGATCTCACGCCGGGGTAGTGAAGGACTTACTTTTAAAAGTGATCCTAGTGTTTTTCTGGAAATTAGAAAACTTAAAAATATGTAAGTGACTTTACACACACTAATAAACAGTATGCAAATGTGTGTGTGCATGCAAAGATCGTTTCGATAATATGCTTTTTGGAGTTTTTTTTATGCGTCGTAAAGTTTATTTATGTTTTCGGAAGTTTTATTTTCGAATGTAATAAAAGAAATGAACCGTGTCTAATTGGATCAGTGAAAATCAAAGGTCAGCAAAGATATCAATTGTTCGTTACTATCCTTAACTTTTACATTTTTTAAATCTCTTTACAATAATTTTCAAAAAATAATAGTAATCTTCCTAGGATTTTTTTGATAGTTATTATGTTACAAAGACTATTTAGGTACCTTTAAATATTTCCTACTAGAGCTTAAGAATATTTCGTGAAATAATTTTTTAAAATCACGTTTCAAATGGGATGTCACTGTCATATGTTTTCCGCTTTGATTTTCGTCAATTGCGAGCTGCGCATGTTTTTTGCAGAGGAGGCGGGGAAAACCGTGGAAAGGGGGGCTTTTACAGCTGCTGCCGTCGCTTTTGGCTTTGCTGTTTTGCCGACGAGGATACGGCCTGATGATGTTGCTGTTGCATCGCGGAACGGAGCGCTGTGTATCCTGTGTATCCATTCCCCCGCTCCCCCCTTCGCAACACACACCCCCTGCGCCGCTGCTCTCTCTCTGCCTTCCTTTCGGCGACTCTGAATCTCGTCGGGCGCCCAACACGCGCCCTTGTGTGGGTGGCAGGTGGTGGTGGGTGGTTAAGCGAAGTGGGTGGTCTATTCCACGCCATGTGTTTTGTAAATCAGCCATCAGCCGCCCCCTCCGCCCCCCAGTCCTCCTCAAAAGTTGGGGGAGTCCTTTCGGCTGCGCTCGTGTCCTCTCGGCTGCTCTGCCGCTTATCCTTTTGGTCCAGCGTCGACGTCGCACAGTAGATTCGATTCGGATCCGAAATTTGTTCATATCTACTCAAGTTTTTATAAATCAAATATAATTTAGCACATCTTTAAACGCGGAAATACTCTTAATCGCAGCGAAAAAATGTGTTTAATTTTTATTTTGGAATTGTAATACGTTGGTATGCAAAAATTAAAAAAAATAATATTTCGGGCTATACTATACAGGTTTTACCGTAGAAAGTGAAAAAAAAATTTTAATGAAAAAAAATGAAATTTTCGAAAGAAATTTTTCTGAAATTGCAACAAGCTGGCGTGCAATAATTTGATGGGGCTCTCAATTTCCGATTGGGCCCACTGTGCGCCGGTGTTGGCAGCACAGCCTCGTGCTTTCGGCGGCGGCTGAGCTACATCTGCAGCCGCCGCGTGTTCGTAGTCGTAGTCGTAGTCGAAGCCTTTGCCGGAGCCGGATCCGGAGCCTCGAACAGAGCGGCGCAGGACACTACGGGAGCTAGCAGGACCTGTACCGCTGGCACAGGCATCGCTTCGCCTCGCCCGGAGAGCATCCTCGGCATCCTCGGCAGCGGCAGAGGCAGAGGCAGTGGCAGTGGCAGTGGCTGAGGCAGAGGCCGAGGCAGAGGTTGTGTGGCATCGGCAGAGGCTGTGGCAGTGGCAGTGGCAGAACCAGAAGCAGAATCCAAAAGCAGAGTCCCTGCCACTCAGTTACGCGCAACATTTCAACGCAACGTCGTGGCAATTCCAAATCGGCGGCAGACGCGGGCGTGCGCAGCGCACGGGCGGACTGCACGTAATAAATCCTCCGGAACGGGCTTAAAATACGGCAAACGCAGCTAATCACACACAATAAAATAAAAAACCGAATAAAATACAAAAGCAAAAAAAAACCCATTCAACTTGTTAATTGAAAAGAAAAACGAAATAATATAGAAACAAAATGGGCTTCAAGTAAATACAGTTTCTTACGCACAAATATTTTTGCCGCTGCCCCAAAAAATTGCTCAATATTTTTTTCTCCGCCGCGTGCGCGTTTGTCAGTGTGTGTGTGTGTGTGTGTGTAAGTCCGTGTGGGTGTGATTCGCGCGCGTGTGAGTGTGTGTGTGTGTCGCTATTTTCTTGTTGTTTTTTTGGTAACTTTTTTTTTTGCCGTTCTTTAATCCCTGCCTAAAAAAAAGGAGAAAAATGCTAAAAGCCAAGGCAAAAATGTAAAACAGCCGATGATGCAAAAAGCATTACAAGCGCACAAGAAATACAAAAGTAAATAAAAATCTAGCAGTTATAAAGTTAAATTTAAGGCTAACGAAACGCACAACAAACAGCCAAAATAGATCAAGTAATTAATATAGCTAATGTAATCACTAACCAAGCGAATGGAAATCACCCAACTGGAGCTCCATCTCTGGAAATTTGAGGTAACTTATGGCTTGCACTGTTATTATTTTAAGATTAAGAGAAAGTTTCTGGCAATTTATTGGGGAAAACGAAGAATAAGTTTTGGGATGGTAGAAACTCTCTGAACTAAATTCATATGTTGATTTAAATTAAGCAATGAGTTTCTAACTCAGGAAAACTTGGGAAACCCCTTTGATGTTTTGGCAGATATTTCCACCAACTAATTGGAAAATGTGGCATTGTAAAAAGTTAAATTAAAGGCTAAGACTAGCGGGACTTGGATCTCGCTGACTGACAGCTTACTTAATATATTATTTAATTTCTTTACCGTCTCTCAATAGTTTCCTTGACACTATTTTCGCCTTTGCCAAAAGAAAAATCGGGGGAAAATCGGAAGGCTGCTTTCACACACACACACGAACACGCACACACAGAGAAGCACACACCAATACACTCTCGCATTTCCGCACACAAAGACAAACACGTATATGTATATAGATATATATATATAGACATAAATCCATGTAAAGCTGTTGCCTGGCCTCTAAAATGGCTGCCTCTGCCGCTGGTAGCTGCGCCGCCGACTGCGACGTCGGCAGCGTGGTAAGCAGCGCGCAAGAAGTTGAGGTTATGTCTGCGCCGCAAAATGTGCTTGGGCTTGGGATCCAAAAAACGCTGCGAAAGTGGCAAGAACCGAGGGGATGGGGATGGGAATGGGGCAGGAGATGGGAGTGGGGATGCGGATGATGGCAATGGGGTGCTCTGGCTGCTTTGGCTACTGCTTTGCTGCCCTTGGCATGGAAATGCTGTCGCCCCTTTTCGATGGGCGTGACTGCAGCATCCTTTTCGGCCATCCAAAGGATTCTCTGCCCCGCTTTTGTCCTTGTCCATGCAAAACATTCATTGTACCCTACACGGTCAAAACCAAAACAAAATTTCAAGAAATAAGTTTAAAGATTTTAGAAATTGGTAAATTCGAAGCCCAATAAATATATTGGAATGTATACTTATATTACATTACATTTTATTAAAATCATACATATATGTATTTGAATATTTTATATTTTTTCTTTACTAAATGTTTTATATTTTTTTCTGTGTATTTTCTTTGAGTGTGGTGGGGTTGGTGTCACAATGTGGATGACCTAGCCCTATTTTTGGCCATTGCAGAGTCAACTGTTAACTGTTAATGCTGCTGCTGCGCGGCAACTGCGCTGCTGGCAGAGTTCCTCATTTTCAGTTTTATTTTTCAACGCCGGGGGAAAGAGCTAAACTTCATTCTAGATTAAGAGATATAAATAGTATAATATATTTTACATATTTACATTTTGTAAACTTATAAAATCTGTTGAAAAATATATATTCTTACCTTTTGTATGCTTGTTTCTTGCAGAACAGCCAGTCTTAACACGTGACTATTCAACTAAGAGCGGAAAACAAAAATCCAACCATACCTGTCATATATACATGCATATATAGTTGTCATCCGGAGACGATCTGCTTTCGATCGGAGGCCATTGGACGGCAGGAGCAATGAGCATCATTGCGGCCTGGGTTTGGATTCCATCTCCGTCTCCACTTCCGGTACCGAGCTCAAGTCCAAATCCGCATCAGAATCCGAATCCGAATTCGAGTCCTTGTCCGCGTTCTGTTGAAAGGAGCAGCCAACAGGTGCAGCGGCCGCTTCTTTGATGCCAGTTGGAGTTGGACTTGGAGCTGCGGTTAAGGCTGAGGAACAGGAACGGGAACGGGAACGGGAACGGGATTAGAGTGGGAACAGGAGAAACAGGAGGGTCAGCATCCGGGATACGGATAGGGGGGATCAGGCGACCCCTCTGGAAGTGGCGCCCCTGCCTTGCGCGATGCAAGCGAACAGCAGCCGCTCCAATTTAAGCGCACAATCCTCGGGCACGCCGTCGGCCTCAACGATATCCTCGTCCCAGGGCAAGGTGAGTGCACTCGAAAAAAATCCGTTGTGTGCCTATGAACAGAGTGCTGTGGGTGACACTGCTCTTCAATCCAAAGCCTTTAACCTTGTCAAAGCGTATTCGATTTCAAAGTGCGATGCCTTAAAACATTTATACTTTAATTCTAAAACAACAAACTGCATTTCATTTGAAGAAAGCTCTGTTTTAAGACCCCTTTTCCATTCATATTTTTCCAAGAGTTCGAGGGTTTTCCAAATACCCGATTCTTCGATGAAGTAAACAACCAAAGCTGTTTAATTTCGCCATTACCCACCAGTTGGCACGACGCTCCTTTGTTTCGTCTTTATTTGTCCCAGGCCCAGGATCAAATTGAATTGGTTTCTGCCCCGCCTCGAATCGATGGCCATTACAATTATGCAATGTTTATTGACTGCAATTATAAATATTGGCCCCGTCCGCCTGTCATCATCATCATCATCGAATGGATCTGCGTCAAGATTCATATATATTCGTATGCGTATATGCGATGACTCGTATTCGTATTCGCATTCGCATTCGCATCGAAATTCGAAATCCCGATGGAGAACTGGCAACTGGCTTTCAGCTCGAGTGAAATTTTATTTGTCAGCTTGCTTCCTCACGACAGAGCGACATGGGTGGCGGGCTAAAAAGGGGGGAGAAGGATGGGAGGGGGGGAGGGTGGAGACTTCTGCCAGCGGGTGGGTGCACATTTCCGCTTTCAATTTGTTTGGCGTGTGCGTGGGTGGCGGTGGCGATGGCGGTGGCGAAAAGGGTCCTGGGGAACATAAATGTAACTGGGGTACACTGCTGCTGCATCCGTTGCTTGTCAATCGAGCGACGTCTGATGAATGCAGAACACACCACCCCCCGTCCAGTAATCCCCCTTTGACAAAAACGAGCACCCCACCCTCCCCCTCGGCGGCACCCCTTTCATTCGCTCTACTATTTGCATTGCCCATTGCCGGCGTTGTGTCCTTTATCGTTTTTAATTAAACATTGCCGTTTTGGGCTATTACCCACACACTCTTACGCCCACGCAAACGCTCACTTACCAGCACACACACACACACAATGGTTTACATGGGAGCACAGAAAGAAAGTTAAATACTATTTAAAGTAGAAGCAATTAAATGGTCCGATAAGGTAAACCAACAGAATGCGAGTTCTCTATTCAAATGTAAATACTTTTGTTACATTTTAAGGACTTCTTAAGTTAACCATCTAATTTATGCAATTATAATTATAATAACTGGTTAATTAATTCATTGGTTTATTTATTGATATCCTGTGTGAAGAAATCATTTAAAACCCTAACTAACTGATAAGGATTTTATCTGATTATAAAAGATAATTTATTAGAATATTCCGAGGTTACAGTCATTTTGTTCATGTTCCGCTGAAGTACTACAGTTCGTTTCGATTTTTCGTTCAGTGCCTTTTCGGTTCTCCTGGCTGACACATTCTGAAGTAACTATTTGCACTTGAAGAGCAGGTCCTTTTCTTCCTTTCTTCCTTTCTGACTGTGTGCGTAATATGCTGCAAAAGTGCTCCGTTGTTTTCGGGGAAAAAATGTAGTTGGCAATGTGTCTGTGTTTCATTACTGTCATCGTCCATCAGGCGAACGCAGGTTGTACCGCCCCCACCCCCTCTTTTCCCCCCTCTCCATCACACCCTCCCCCTCTCCGCTCATCGTTTTTCACATATTTCCGCCGTGTTCAGTTGCCACTTTGCGAGGCCCTAGAAAGTAGGCAAGGGTTTTATTTCGAAACAATTTTTATTGCTTGTCGTTTCCTAAGTGCAAGGATAATGGAAAATGGTAGGAGTGAAATGGGCCTTGCACCTGAGTGGATTTCCCCTCCCTTCTACAGCCGCAAAGTGTTCAGATTCAGATTTAATTGTTTATTTATTTCAAGGTGAACAAAACGTTCAAGTTTTTGTATCATTTGCCTGCTAAAATTATTCTTTAATCCAATAATAAAATGAAATAAATATATATAAAATTTATCTAGCTAGCTTTAGGATTTCTTTTGAATATTCTTTTCAGAGGTTTTCCATTTTGGAAAACTTTCATTTCATTTTCCTTGTGTTGTTAATGCAGTTTGGTTTCCACTTTGAATGCATTTTAGCTGGTATTTTTTTCATTTGATTAGTTGCTTCACTTCTGCTGGATTTCTATTGTTTTGTTTTCTCTCTTGTTAAATTTCATTTTGTAATTTAGATTTACACTTCTTTGAGTTGCTCACTCTGGGCAATAAAAATATGTGTACGAGGAGCCACAATTCGTGTTGAAGGCATTCTTTTGTGCCTTGTGTGTGTTTATTAATAAATATGGCTTGCATTTTAATAAGTTTTCGGTTTTGTTCCCATGAAAATAAACACTGCGTGTGTGTCTCTTTGAAAAGATTTAAGTAAATATTTGGCTTAACTATACATATTTACTTTTAGTTTCAAGCGTGATATTGATGTTTCGCCTTTATTTTTCATATTGCCTCGATGTTTATTTTTTGTGTCTTACCAGTGGGATAAGTTTTTCCGTTTTTCCTCTTTTCCGCTTTTCCGCTTTTCCATTCTTTTCCGTTTTCTGAAAGGGGCAAACATTATTATGACATTGGTGCAAAGTTTCTGCATAACGCATACGCCGCGTGGTCCATCAGTCAGTTGTGTTCTCTTTTGAGTAGCGGGCTCTCTCTTTGTTTGTGGCTCTTGGTCGCAAAAGTGCGTGTGTGCCGTCGTCGTCGTCGTATTCTTGCTGCCAGCTACTTTCAGCGGCTGTCAGGGAAAGTTTTTTACATGGATTGCCATGAAATTTTCAAATAACTTTCATGCACGATGGATGGATGGCCAATGGCAATGGTAATGGCAATGGGTTTTCTGGTTTTCTGGCATTCTGGTATTGCTGGCTGCTGAGTGCTTGTGAAATGATGCAGAAGAATGAAAAGTATGAAACATTTTGCTTCATTAAGTGGCGTGTGTGTCTCCTCTTTTCTTCTCCTTTTTTTTTGTTTTTTTTTTTTCCTCCGCCTCCTCTTGTTCTTGTTCTTGTATTGCCTTTAATTCAGAGCCGTAAAAAGGACGAAAAATAGACGGCGGGGGAATGGAGGGGGAAGGGGGAAGGGGGAATTGGTGGAATAAAGAAACGCACATGCGTGTGTGTTGGTGAGTGTCTGATTGCGGTGCCTGCAATTGCGCATGTGCTGGACCACGCTATACCCTGCAACACCCTCCCCTCTCCCCATTCGCATCTATAAAAAAGAAAGGAGGAACCCGAAAGAACCCCACCATCACAAGACATATGCTCGAAAATATACAGCTTTAACAAGGCGCAAAACAAGAGCAGCAACAACAACAGTAACAGTAACAACAACAGCAGCAGCAACAACAACAATAATAACATTAACAATAGCCACAATTGTGCGTATCATTTTTGTTACTTTGTTGCATAACCATAACCCCATTGGGAGAAATCCTCACGAAACATTCTTCCTTCATTCTTCACAAAAATTGTAGCCCCTTTTTCACCACTTATTAGCTGTGTGTGCGAATGTCTCTCTGTACGAGTGTGGGTGTGTTCGAGTGTGTGTGTGTCTGCATCATTTAAAACAATATCCAAAGATTTGTTTCGCCATTTATATGTCAAAAATGACAAGTCAAGTGCTTTGTTCTTGTTCTCGCCTTTCTCCCTTCGTCCCGCCGCTTGCTTCTTCTTCCCCTTCCCCTTCCCTTTTCCTTTTCCTCTGCCGCGTCCTTCTCTTCTCTCTGCTCTCTCCCTCTCTCTGTTGTTTTTTTTTTAAAGCTTTTTTCGTTCTTGGCTTTGTCATTAGCAGTCAAGCGCAAATAAGCGGAGCGAATGGAGAATTAACCGCGATTACAGGGAATTTCGAATGCTCTTTTTCGCGGAAATGTGTTGGAAAACGAAGAAGTCAATTTAATAAGTTTGATGGCATTTCCCTGGAAAGCTTTTCTCGCTTCTAAAGTTCTTACAATAATATTCTACCATATAATTTGTTCTTTCCCCTTTTTAATCAGTAACGTAAAGCAAACCCTAATGTTCTTTAGTTGCTCTGAACTATAGAAAATGAGAAACTCAACAGGACAAAGTTTTTCCTGTTGACCTTACTTGTCTTTATTTACAAGACATTCCTGCAGTTCAATCAACCCCGAAAGGTATGCTATCGGGAAAATCAGTTTTTCCTCCTTCGAAAGTTTGTAACTCATTCATACATATTTTGCCATCGAATCACGCTCGACTGAATTTCGGTGCAGTTGTCAGGGCATTTCCCATAGCAAAAGGCACAAAAAAAACGTGAAAAGTGAAAAAAAGAAAACCAGAGACAATGAACGACAGAATGAAAGATGGGAGGAAAGCAGAAGAAGGGCGGGGAAAAGGGAAAACTTGACGCCTAGACTTTCTCTCTACGCGAACGAGCGAGTGTGTGTGTGTGTGCGTGTTTTGTTGTACTTGCCATGTGTCTATGTGTGAAATGAGCTTCAAGTACAACAACAAGAACAACAAGAACAAACTGACAAGGACGCTCATATGAAAACAAACGCATAATTTAAGCGTAATTGCTGTCATTTTTCATTCGAGTGCGACAAAGTGAGGGCGAGGGGAGGGCTGGAGGCGGCGGTGGGCGGGGCGGAGTGGCGGATTGGCGGACGGGGGTGAGGAGCGGTACTGCCACAGCTGCTGTTGCCACTGCTCAAGTGCCCCAGTTTGTCTATGTCGCCAGTTGCCCCCGTCAGTCGCGCCTCGGCCTCAGCTCTCAACATCATGCAAGCCCCGCGTTAACATAACATATAGTAAACAAAAGTCAAGATAGTATTAGGAATAGTGTCACTCTTGCAGAAAATAAACTATACATATTATGTACTTCAATCAATTAATCTCGATTTATTTTGTAATTTTCCTCAACCAATTATTCATTAAAAGCGCTTACTTCTAAGGAGGTTTCAATTCACTTTAAATCACGCTTAAAAGTATGCTATAGGAAAAAATTATGTAAAAAAAATTAATTTATTTTTACACGTACACTATTTAATTAATATACAAATTTAAAATACATATTATAAAAATGCGTTTATTAACTATATAAATTTATTTTGAGTTTAATAACACAGCCACACAAAAAAAAAAAATTTCGGGCCCGGAGGTCAGACCATGTTTTCTATATGTTTTCGGGGTCGCTGAATCCGAATCCGAGGTCCAAAAAACGCCAGCACGTCAGGGTTCTGACATAACCTCAAAAAACCTCACACAAAATTATATTCGAGTCCGTGGGTCAGACCATGTTTATTATATGTTTTCATGGTCGCTGAATCCGAATCTGAGGTCTAAAAAACTCCAGAATGTCAGGGTTACCACATAACATCAAAAAAAACTGGAGTTTTTTAGACAACGGATTCGGATTCAGCGACCCCAAAAACATATGGTAAACATGGTCTGAGCCCAGAACTCGGAAAATAAAAATTTTATCAAGTTTTTGAGGTAATGTCGTAACCCTGACATTCTGGAGTTTTTTAGACCTCGGATTCGGATTCAGGGACCCTGAAAACATATAATTAACATGGTCTGGCCCACGGACTCGAATAAAATTTTGTATGAGGTTTTTTGAGGTTATGTCAGAACCCTGACGTGCTGGGGTTTTTTGGACCTCGGATTCGGATTCAGCGACCCCGAAAACATATAGAAAACATGGTCTGACCTCCGGGCCCGAAAATTTTTTTTTTTTTGTGTGGCTGTGTAATATTTGGGGAATTCTTAAATGGGCAATATGCTTTCGCCCGCTGCTGTGTTTTGATGGCTGTCTGTGCTTTCTGCGCGCGTGTGTGTGTGAGTTAGTGTGTTTGGGTGTGGGTGTGTGATGGTTCCTGCATCCGGCGTTGAAGCGCCAATAATTATGCAGCTTAGGTTTGGCTTTCATTCCTTTCCGTCTGTTTTTCCCAGCTTTTTCCCACATTTTCCCCCTGCGACACTTTTTTTCCGCCTTTTATTTTTTTGCGCTCATGCCATCTGTTTTTTTTTTTTTTTTGCCATCGCGTCCTGGCAAACGGTGGCAGTTCATCAATTGGCCTGACTTTCTGCCACGTTAATCCGCAGAAAATATATATGTTTATTTAAAAACCGGAGGAGTAACGCGACTACGGAAAGAAGCATGAAATATGAGGCTGTGGAAGTGGCAAACAGTTGGAAATTGCTGGTGGTTATTCGTGCCATTTGCCATTCGCCATTCGCTATTTGCCATTTTGGACCACCCACCAGCCACCACCCACCACCCACCAGCCACCACCCACCAGCCACCAGCAGCTGCAACGTCGAGTTGTCTTCCTGTTTATTCGCCGCTTTGTGTGCGTCTGCTTTTGGTCCTTTTAGCACCTGGCCCAGGACATTCCGCACCAAGTCCTCCTCCTCCTCCTCCTCCTCCTCCTCCTCCTCCTCCTCCTCCTCCTCCTCCTCCTCCTCCTCCTCCTCCCTCCTCGTCCTCATCCCCATCCCCCTGGTCCTTTCACATCATCTCCCGTCGCCTTTGTGTGTGTCCTTTTTGGCCGTTTGCCAGCTCAACTCGAGTTCACTTCCAGTTGAGTGTTTTGCCCGTCGCCCGTTTTTGCTGTTGCACGTCGGGAAATCGGGTGGGGTAATAAGTAATAAATGTACTTTAAAGACCAGCTCAAATTTACCATTTTATTTCGGCTTTTTTGCGGGTCATTAGATATCAAATCTTAATAAGTTTATATTACAATCTATTTTGATAAGCATTTACTAAATAGAAGTATGCTGCCCCCTCATAATTATTATGATTTGTTCATGCTTTCTTCCAATCTTGATTTAAACACATGGTCGGTTTTTTTCTCAGTGATCTGCTGTGGTCGTTTTTCCTATTGTCGACCTGCGCTTGCAACAATGCTTGTTTCTGCCACGTTGCCACGCCCCCACACCAACGCCTGCTTATTCACTTTTGTGACCCAATAAAGTCGAATTATTTCTTTTTTCATTCACTCTTGTTTTGTAATTAGGCACTCTCTTGCAGATCCCTACGCTCTCTTCTCTACACATACACATACATATACATATACATAAAATATGTATTTGTTTGCACACACACACACACACACACATACATATCTATCTCAACTATCTGCTTGTCTGTGCTTGTTATTTGTTTTTATTTTATTTCATTTGACTTTTTTTTTTTAGGTCTGTTGGCCCAGGTTTAAATGTTTCTCAAGTGCTTTTTGCCAATTTTCGGTTTGCATTTTGTGGCTTGCATCGTTGTTGCTATTGTTGCTGCTTGTTGTTCTCTTTGTGTGGTTCCATTTGGGATTTTTGTGTGAAATGCACATCGGGCTTATTTAGATTGCACTGGATGCATTTTATCCGAGTTGCCCAAATTAAATGCGACTGCCGATGAATAATTCCGGGGATTTTGTGGAAAGGTGAAAGGCTCCACTGAGGGAATTTTTAAAAATTAATTCGCCAAGGAATTTTCTATGTCGGCACTAAGTGCCACTAAAATTGCGTTGAATTTGGGAAAAAAAACATATATTTTTTATGTACTACTGAAAAAAGTAGATTTGTGTGCTACAAACCATGTTTAAATAAATTTAAAGTTGTTTTTAAAGACACACTGCACTCCCCATTGTTTGTTAATCAATGTTGAACTGCATTCGTTATTTCGGGATTTCCAATTACAGCCATTCGTCGCTTGCCGAAATTTCTCTAAACGGATTAATGGCTTTTGAATGGGCTTTATTTCCAGGGTGACTGTCAAACTGCTGGCGAAACTGGGGGGCAATCAGAGCCACCCACCGAACAGCCACCCACCAGCTGGCCTGCTGCCTACTGATTACACGCTTGAGGGCGTGGGCGATGGATGGTGGGTTGCTGGGTTGCTGGCTTGCTGGGTTGGTGGGTGGTTCAAGGATATGTGGACTCTAGGAGCTGGGAGCTAGAAGCTAGTAGAGTGGAGAAAGCAGAAAGGAGTCCCCCGCAATTGCCGCATGAGCATAATTTGTTGTAATTAACATAACGAGCCAGCCCAAGCAATAATGGCCAAAACTTCCCACACTCCCACACACACACACTTGCAGAAGTGGGGGTATTTGAACTGAAGTTGGATTGTTTGCTGTTTCAGCCTGGCTGTGTGTTGCCTTAGTCCTTCATCCCTTTGTGTAATTAATTTGATTTTTTTTTTTTTTTATTTTTTTTTAGTAGTAGCAGTAGTAGTAGAGCCACCCACATCACGCGGCATGAATAAGTTGTTCCTGCTATTTAGGCAGCATTTATGAAAATGACTTTATGCCAGACATTTACCGAGCACTCTGTAAATATTTCGTGAGCGAAGGGAATCGCTTGGCGTTAAGCATACGTACTGTAGGCAAAAAAAAAAAAACCATTCACCAACAAATAAAGCAGAGGCCGCCAAAACACTTAAAATGTGTATTAGAAAATATAAAATACTAGGTAACGGACAATAATAATTTAAGCAACTTAACATATAAACAACCGAATATTGAGTATACGCCACGTGGCAAAGAGAAACATCTATCTAGAATTGACGATTTTGTAACAGTAATCAATGTTTCTTGGGGAGAATTTAATATATTTATATATACTAAATTTATGTTTTATATTTTCATTTATATTTTCCATATATACTTATATAGTTTGTTGTTATTAAGTATACGCCATGTTGCACAACAATCGAAGTGTTTTTAAAATGCCTTCATCCCTTTATCGTTGCAGCAACAAGTTGTCGAACTATCGGGCTATGTCATCATACTCGTCGAGAATGTGGAGGGTAAAATTAAACTATACGGCTCACCGCCCGATCGCGATAATCTGGAAGTGGGCGATGAGATACTCGAGGTCAATGGCCTGACCCTGGAGAACATTTCGCGCACGGAGGTCATTCGCCACATACACGACGTACGGATTGCAATCCCCCTACTGATAAGGTCCATCCTGACCCATCCCTTACTAATTTCTGTATGTTTTTTCTTTTCGATCCGCACAATTCCGCTGCAGTGCATCAAATCCTGCACCATTTGTCTGCGTGTGCGAAAGAAAAATGATTCACGACTGGGTAAGTTAAGAGAAAGTTTATACCACCTTATGGAACTATTTATTAAGTACAGCGTTTAAAAGAACAGTCACATACATTTTATATACTGCAAGAATTAGGTGAAACATTGTTTTAAATAGTATTAATTTTAATACACTTTAGGGAGTTCATTTTAAGAAGAGTTCGAGCTGAAGGATCGTATTTAATATTGTTTTTATACCTGGTATTAATTGATTGGATCTTGTGATCGTATTACTTCCCGTTAGTCTTGCTTTTTTGGCGCTTGTGTGTTTGCAACTGAGTTTGCGGTCAGTTGAGTTGAGCTTCTGGCGCTCCTCAGTCTGCGCTCTCCACTCTTCGCTCTTCGCTCTTGGCACTGCGGTTCTGCAGTCTCCCCCTCTCTCTCACGCTCGCTCTCTCTGTTGCTCTTGCTCTGCCGTACCGCTCTCGTTCTCTTCAGATGGGCTTTTGGGGCCTCTCCAGCCGCTTGGCGATGAAGTCGCCTCACTTGCGTCAGTTGAAAGGCGACCGTCGACGTTTTCGTAGCGTCAGCGCCGCAGTGTCGCCGCTTTGACCGTACCGCCCAACTATCTCCGTCTCGTTTTCTCCGGCGGATTGCGTTCGTAGTGGTTTATGTTTCTGTTACAGTTCGGTTCGGTTTTCCGCCTTTTGTTTTGAAGTGCGCGCACGCGTTGGCGTCTCAGTTTTGTTTTTTGGTACGTGGTACGCCGTCGTTTCGTTTTCGTATTCGTATTTTTTTTCGGTGTAAGAAATTTGATTTGTTGTTGGTTTTGTTGTGGTGCAGCAGCAGTAGTAGCAGCAGCAGTAGAAGCAGCAGAAAAAGCAGCAGCAGCGACTGGAAAAGCAGAAAAAACATCAGGGTGAGTGGCCAGTGGCTCTCAAACTGGGCAAACTATCTAAGGCAGAGTCATGAATCAACATTGTTAGTGTTTAGTTTGGCGTACCTGGCCCACAGATACACAGGCTATAGAGATATAGACACGTGTATGTATGTTTGTATGTAGTCACTTGCATGACTCGAGCTACACGGAAAAAAGTAAGATTGCTTTGGACCATTATTGCACAACTAATTTTGATCATTTTCGATCGCTAAATAATTGCTTCTGAAAATAATAATTTGAAATTGTTATAGGCGTTCACCTGCTAATTAGTGTTATTAATTTTTTTGTCTGTGCATACAGAGGAATGCTCGAAAATATTTTCAAATGATTTTTCATGACATGTGAGCAATTTGTATGGTTTATTTGTAACAGAAACCGATTCTTAATTCTGAATTGATAATTTTTAGCAAGTTCTCTTATTCCAATTAAGTTTAATTATTCAATTTGGCCACTATAACTATTTTTTTTTATCACTCGCCAATTCAAAAATATCAGAAGCAAATACAAGCTTACAGGTAATATAAAAAAACCTAAATCAAATATAGATCATTAATCAGTTGTAGAGGAAATGTAAATCAAATGGAAAACAGAAGAAAATCTGTAGCGAGTTTAAATTAAAGCAAAATACAAACAGAAATAGCAACTCTTAATCATCTCAAGTGAGAATTAAAATGAAATCTTAACTAACGAATAGCATTAGCACGTAATGGGATATTCTCGGTGTAAAAGGAAGTTGGAGCTGTGGGATGTTCGACTGTATTCGCAAACACCGGCTAAATAATTCCGTTTCGAATCACGGAAAGTTTTTTGTCGCCTCATTATTATGGGCAAAACTTCAGTTTAACCCATTAACACGGCGATGAGTGCGGTGTTTGCTCTTATTATACTCGCTTTTTGCGATATTTTCCTGACTTTTTTTTTTCGTTTGTGTTGTTGTTGTTGCTGTTGCTATTTGTTTTTTTCTTGCGTTTTGTGGGCGTGAGAGTGCAAAAAGCGAGGGCAAATATAGTTGGAGGGCCGACACATGTAGATACAGATACAAAATCCCCATGGACCATCAAAGTGGCCAACAAAAAGCATTTGGAAATGGGAATGGGGAATGGGAATGGCAATGGGAATGGAAATGGTGGGAGTTGTAAGACCCGCTCTTGCTCTCTCTTTCCACCTTTCCACCTCCTCCGTTTCGCTCTTTTGCAGCCTCCTCGACCGTTTTTTTTTTCTGTTTCTGTTTTTTTTTTTCGCCTCCCACCGAATTCAGCCAACTGGAAATTACTGCAAAATAGACAAAAGCGAGAGCGAGACGGGGAGATACCCCAGATATGTGTGACTGAGAGAGATGGGGCATAGAAATAAAAGCTGCTTACAGTTTGGCCTGCGTTGTGGGCCACGTGTTGTTGTTGCCATAAAAAGCGGCTAAACAAGAAACAACAACAACAATAACAACGGCAACAGCAGCACACAAAACGGCCAAACAGACAGCCAAGAAAACTAACCTCAAAACGAAACAAGTTTTGTCGAAAGTGGAAATCAACTGTCAAAAAATAATAAAAAAAAGAAACAAAAACAAAAAAAGCAAAAAATACATAAAGTGGCAAAAAATACACATTTTATGGGACCCACATACCAAAAGTTACATTCATTATGCACTCATTAAAGCGGCAGACAGATCTTTAAATGCAAATCGGGCTTGGCAACTGTTTTATTTTTAGTAAGAAAATCCAACTGATCGCCGGCAGAAATATCTAAGAGAAGAAAGAAGAAGCTAATTTATTGAAGATAATTAAAATGGACCAACACTGAAATGTAGTTTGCATTATTAACATTAACCGCTTTTGGAGCTATCAATCAATTTCTGTTTGAAAGGCACCTTTATTACAGCATAATTTTCGCATAAAAGATTCATTGTTGTGCTTGCAATAAATCAATATAGTGCATACCTGTTCCGCACATAAACATGTCATGTTTTAATTTTCTGGTTTGAATGTCCATCAGAAATGATAATCTTGTCCGCTCGACATACATGAAATACACAATAATGTGCAGTAAGATACTAAATCAATCATTATATTTTGAACAAACAATGCAATTACTGTTGAAAAGATGGGAAACACATGAGAGTTAAATTAATAGTTGTTGATGCCATTCTTTCATAAATTGCATTAAATATCTTTTATAAATGTAATCAAACAAAAGTGATAAATATTTGCGAGGTTATCAAATAGGTTTTTATTGTGCTTATAATTTATTAACCACCGCTAGGAATAAAAAAAACTTTCGAGTAAATCCAATTACTGGGTTAAAAGTAAACTGAAATTACTGCACAAAAGCAACATTATTGTGCAGATACTAAATCAATCAGATGCTGACCCATTTCGAGAGCACACACACACTCACACACACACGTTGCAGAATCCGCAGCCGATTGAATTACAGTTTGGGCTGCACTGTGCCGCATTCCAAGGGGCGTATACGCAACCCAGAATCCCCTGCAGTATGGTATACTGTTCGTATAGTATTCCCCACTCCAATATCCGCTGATAAGGCGGCAATCAGTTGCAGTCTTCTGGAAACCGCTTTTATTTTTGGGTCAACTCCAACGGACCCCGAAGAATTTCCAGTTTGCAACGGCGGCTAACACACAAACAAAACACACCGAACCGACAAAAAATCAAAAAAAAAAAATGGAGGGGGGGGAAACAACACAAAAAAAAAAAAAAAAAAAAAACTGAAAACACCGAATACATTCCAAAGCAATGAATTTGTTGTCCGAAGCGAAATCAATAGGAGTTTGCCGGCAGAGGAAGAGAAGTGCGAAGCTGAAAAACTTAAAACTACAAAAATATAGCCAAAGTTTTCAATGTTCGTCTATGGGGTCGCCTGCAGGTGCGAGCGGGATGGCCAGTCATTTGGAGGGAGAGAGGGAGAGGGAGAGCAGCATCCGAAATCCGGTAAGGCAAGTTTCTTGGCTCCAAAAGAACACTGAGAGAAAAATAGAAAACGGAGGGAAATTACCTTTCCTTTTTAATTTACAAAAATATAAGTTTATTTTAATTTGTTTAATATGTATTATTTGTTTTATCTTTTAATGTAAAGTTTCTTTTCTTGTCACATTTCAACATATCATTTAATAAGTTTGTATAATACAATGATGCAGAAAGTTATTATTATTAATTACACTAGTTCTGTACTCCAAAACTGCACGTTTTAACGTCCTCTTGATAGTATAAATTCAGCTTGAATAATTCTTTATTGAATACTCATTTATACAATACTTAACACTGAACAGAAACAATCAGTAAAGTTATTAAAACAAATAATAATGCAGTGTCAGGCTTAAAATGGGTATTTTTGAAAAACAAACATATATAGATATCTCAAAAGCACCTTTATTTACCGCTATTAGCTCAGATTCATAGGTAATACCTTTCGATTCCTGGAATTTAGTTCTCTTCTTGTTTTTATTTCCCAGTGTGCCTGCTGACTCAATTGTGTGAGTAAGTCTTTAAGTTTTACACGCGGCCAACGTCGACTGGAGCTGAATCTCAAGCGATACAATTGAGCGCGCTCAGATGCGCTGGGTGTAGATTGGGGGCCATTTGGAGGGGGAAGGCGGGAGGGGGGAGTGGCAAAGGTACGAGATGGCCATGTGCTGCGATGTGTAAAAGTCATTGCCTCAGGCGAGCGAGCGAGAGGGACAGAGAGCCAACTGAAGGGAGTCGCAATGGCAGCGGGGAGTGCCGAAATTGTTTTCCAACTTGGCCATGGAATTGCATTGAGATGCTGTTACACTGCAAAATAAGACTCTTTCATTTGTATAAAACTTATTCTACATTATCGAGGACAAACCAAGGACATGCAAAAAAAGCACTTGGGAATTGTAATCGAAAAATATTCAACAGGCAGAAGTGGACTTATTATTGTTATTATTATTATTATTTTCTGATTATTATTTTTATTTTCTGATTAATATTATTATTTTCTGATTATTATTAGTATAATTATTATTTTCTGGTTATAAAAACATGTAATCTTTTTGTGACATTTATTTTTATGTTGTTCCTTTGGGCGAGTGTAATGCTCCCAAGGATATATCCAATGTCCGATGTGGGGGCGCGGATC